GAGGTCCCACGCAGTCCAGATGATAACAAGGTTGCCGACCTGTTCAAATTCACCAAGAGCCGACTCATGGATGTTCCCTACAAGGCCCCATATTCCAGCGATAACAGCCGCCTTACCAACGATGATTTGCGCCGGCAAATGCTCAGCACCATTTTTGGCTGGAACAAGGATGCCGACGACCTGGTTCGAGATGAAATGTCCCGCCACCCTCTGGGGTCAACCAACCGCATTCTCCTGGCCAAATGGCTGGGCGATATCAGCACTGATATCATGGCTATGGGGTCGGAGAACATGACCTCGTCTGACTGGATGCTTCTGGCACTCAGTGGCATTGGAGGACAGGCATCGCAACACAAGCTTGGCCGGGCTTATGTCCAGCGGCTGTTGGAGAATGGCGATGTTCATGCCGCAGCGACCATCATGATCGGGATGGGCGATCATAATGATGCGGTGGAGATTTACATCTCCCACAAGAAGCATATGGAGGCCTTGATCCTCACCTGCCTCTTCTTCCCGGCCGCGTGGGAACGACAGGAGCAGATTGTGAGGAAGTGGGGTGAGTGGGCGGTTCAGCATGGTCAGCAACAACTGGCCATTCGCTGCTTTGCGTGTACTGGCCGTGAGTCTACAGAGCCATGGACATCACCATCTGCTCAGCAGGTCACGTTCCCGACGATCACGCAGACTGTACCGGAGCTGCTCAGTCCTCCCCTGTCGCCTCCTGTGATGCAACATGGGCCACAGCGCAGCATTGCAAAGAACGCGTCTCTCAAGCTTATCACCACCTTCAGCAACCCCAATGCTAAAAACAGGTTTCTCAACGATGGCGAGGGCAAGACTCCCATTGCTGCTGGGGCGACTCCTATTTTGGAGTCTGCTCTTTCTCCAGGCGGCGCCGACCCTACCACCGCCGTCCTTCGTGGCAACCGAAGCCAGCTGAACACCCCAGCGTCAGCTCGTCCTGTAAACGGCGGCTTCAACCGGCGGCGACTTCCTTCGATTGGCGAACAGGCAGACTCTCACCAGAATGTCTTGACCGCCATCAGCAAGCCCCCAGGCGACCCGTATGCTAACATCCAACCTATCGAGCCACCTAGTTTTGCTGCTAGGGGTCTGGACGTGATGAGACCCAGCACCGCCAGTCCTAGCATGATGAAGCAGCAGTCGAGAAACCAGCCACCTCCTTCCCCGTCACCAGCCGCCTTCGCTTCTTTTATGGACGCCGGCAGGACGAGAAATGGCTCCCGCTCCCGCATCCCTGAGGGTCTTGATCTGTCCCTCTCGGGGCTCAAGGACACCCACCCTGAAGATGTGACCTCACCCGAACCATCGGCCGGCTCTTCTGTCCGCTACCACTGGCCCTCTAGAAGAAAGGGTCCAGGATCGGCAGCTGGCTCTGTGGCTAGCTCTTTGGCATCTGCCTCGCAAGCGTCTCAGGCGTCAAGCGTTCGGGGCTATCGTGGATATCGTCCTCAGGAGAACAAGAGCCTGGATGACTATCTCAACAACCTCGATAATGCCCAGAGCAGAACTCGTGGGACCAGCCGTGAGAACCGCACCAATGCGCGTGACACTAGCCGGTCTCGCAAAGATGGTCGTATGGCATCGAAGGACCGTGGGCGGGCCGCCGACCGTAACTACACCCCCAAGGGCGGCAAACGCTCGCCAAAGTCACCCATTCCCATGTCTCCCGAGGATCTGATCAACCTGGCCACGCCCAACCACGATGCGGAACACCAGTACTACTTGAATCATAGGAACAAGATGCTCGATGTCTCAACTGATGAACTGGAGCCCGCCAGCCAGCCCAGCACCGTACGAAAAGTAGGCTATGCCAACCGCGAGACTTCGAGGACCAGAGCGTCGAGCCGCAATGCTAGTAGGACACGGGGCACAAGCAGGGCTCGCAGCCCCAGCAAGTCTAACGTCCCCGCGCCCTTGAACATTCGAAGCCGCTCCGCAAACCGTGAACAGTCATCCAAGCGATCGCCAACATCACCCCAGCCGATGCCGATGCCCATGCCCATGTCGGCTGACTTGCACCGACCTCAGCACTTCGAAGGATCTGAAGATGAGGAGGACTACCGCCAGGCGATGGAGGAGCGTGAAAGGTTCCGCCAGAGAAACAATCGCAGCGCAAGCACCAACCGAGACCGAGCTGGGCCAACTTCTCCCATGTCTGTCCGCTCGCATGCCTGGTCATCTAGGGATGCAGGCCGCGAGAAGCCGGAGGGCATCCGCAGGACAACGTCACACGCTGGAACTGATGGGTCTTCCCGAAGGGTCAAGGTCGCTGCTCCGTTGCAGACCCCGGCACCGATGCAGCTGGTTGCCGATGATTCGGGCGATCTGAGGGTCATCAAGGATGAGAGGCAGCTCAAGAAGGAGGCAGCGGCCCGTGAACTGGAGGAGCGCCGCAAATCTCTTGCTCAGCGTCCTTCGGTGCCCCCAATCATGCATCCCGACCAGCTTTTCCCCAGCAGAAGATCGCCTACTACACTTGGAGGTCTGCCGAGCACCGTCTACGAGCCACCTAGAAAAGAGGATCTTCCTTCCCGCAGTGCCAGTGTGGATCCCAACGCCGGACGGAGCATGTATGCGAACCGCGGACCGCATATCGGCCTTCCCGCCACACCGCGGGCCATGCGTTTGGTCTTGGAGTCTGATGCGAGCAGGAAGCAACAGGATGTTCCCGTGCCTGCCATCCCAGCTGGCTTTTCCCAGACCTCGCCGAACGTCACTCAACAGTCGCCCAGACATTCTCCCAAGAAGGTTGAGCCCGAGGAACCCAAACAAGAAGATGGCGGCCTTGCCATGCTGCTCCCATCAACAGTGTACACACCCCCTCCCTCGCACAACTCCCGCATTGCTGCTCAGATGGGCCGCTCCATGTCCGCCCCTCCCCGCGATCTCGTCATGCCCCAAGGCAGCTCCCGGGGACCCTCCGCCATGGGTAACGATTCCGCTCGTCGCCCCTCTCAGGACACTAACGCCATCCCCTCGGGCCGCCGCCCCTCCGACGCAGGCATGATGGCTCGCTGCCCATCTCAAGACACCAACGTCATGACATTGGGCAACATGGGCCGCCGCCCCTCCCACGACGCAAACATGATGCTCGGTAACATGGGTCGCCGTCCTTCCCATGACGCCGGCAACAACAACCTGATCCCTCCTCCTCCTCCACCTCCTCCTGTCCCCCCAATGCTGAAGGAGCTCCAACATCTCGCCACTCCTCCTCCCCCACCACCAGCTCCCCTCCCTCATATGGCCGCCTCAGGTGCTAAGCCTATCGTCTACGGAGGCAGCTCAGGAATGATTGAGATTGTCATGGACGAAGACCAGCCTCAACAGCAAATTCCTCCTCCTCCGCCGCCCCCCGCTCCGGCTGCCATCCCCGTCGGCGAGTCCACCGTCCCTATCCTCTCACCTCCGGCACCCCCTTCCTCCAGAAACGGTCACAACAGAGGCCGCAGCAGCGTTGATAACTCTATTGGCGCGAGGATTTCCCGCGCAACAGAGAGGATGAGATCTGCCAGCAGAAGCAGACAAGCTGCGAAGAGTCCGGAGATCCAGTACGCACCCTATGAGAGCGTCCCAATGATCCCTCAACAAATGGGCGGGGGAGAGAGGGGACCGCCGGTCTCGATGAGCAACTATAGGGGCATGAACAACCAGGTGTTGCAGCAGGTGCAGGCGCAGATGGCGGCTCAGCAGGCGAGGGATGAGTACAGGACCGGATTGCATCAGAGTGAGATGATTTGATCACTCCTCAACAGTATTATACACGAACACCACCACTGCTGTTGTTTTTCGTGGTGGTTATTTTTCTTTACTGTGGTCTTTTTGTATAGGGGGTGGGTAAAGATACCAATTTCTTTCTTCTTATTATTTGGTTATCTTTTTGGCTTAGTTTATTCATGATCAGCTCTTTGTACATCTTCGACACGCGACATCTTGTATCTTTTTCCACTTTCTTGCATTGCGTTTATCTTATATTTTATGGTTTTTTGGCTTGCAGTTTTGATGTTTAACTTTTTCTGATGAATGATGTGATGAATTTTGGGTATATGGGATTGGAAGACACAGATTGGACACACACAAACAAGAAAGAGGAGGGAAGAAAAATATCGTTGGTGACGTGCGTGTTGGGAGGGATTTCCGAAATAAAAAGACAAAATGAAGTGGCGTGCAAGTGTGAGGGGGAAGAAGAAGGGGCTGGAAATTGGGAAATATACATACATTGCTGCCTCACGGCTTGATGTGTTTAGGGATTGGAATTTTGGTTTTGGTATGCTTTTTTGATGGGATCTAGTTTGGCTTGTTGGATTGGGAGGAGAGTTTGAGGTTGGGGGTTGGTTTACCTAGGTAGCGTGAGATTGTGGATTAATATGAGATGTTTCTGTTGATGAGTTTTGGCATATCGTGTTTTATGTGATATTTGTAAGTAGTATGTTAGTGACAGAATAACTGGCGCCGCAAATCCTCCAGCATCTCGCAGCGGCAGAGCCCAGATAGTCATGATTGGTTGGAAGGAGAGGCGCAGAGCACAGCTAAATTTGAGGCCACCAATTCTTTCTACGCACATATATCCAGATAATGCCTTTCCTATTGACGATGTTCGACAGCTTCAATGCTTCTCTTTTTTCACGGCAATCATCACCATGCCACCAGTCCCACTATTACAGCCACGACTCTGCTCCAAGTGCAAGCTTCTGGCATTCCCCGGCCCTCAGCCCTACAAACCGTTCAGCTCATCCCTGCCTCTGAGATATGATGATGCGTTTACGTTGATGCCGGAGAAGATGGGTTGGGGAAACTGGTGGGATTGCTTCATTATGGCACATACAACAAAATAACATGTCCTCGACAATTTTCCCAACTTACCGAGTCTTAAGCAAGCGTCTCAGCATTGCGAGTTCTGCGAAGCGCTGCGAGAAATTCTGCTCTTAAAAGTTCCGAAAGTAGACAGTATCATCTCGAACCCGGCTTTCTCGCAGCGAATGCGAGGGCCAGAGCCGCTCTGGATCACAATTCGAGCATACCGCGTGTGGAAGAACCCTGATATGGATACGATTGCCAGCTTCAGCGGACTCCATTTGAGGGTTGTATTTGACGACAACCTTCCCATCGAGGTCCCTAGACCGGTTATTATCAAGTGGGTTGCGGAAGCTGCTCCGAGTATGGGCACACACACTGCTTCGCTCCACTGTCGACTTGGGAAACTGACCTCTCTAGATAATGAACATCTGCATACCGTCTTGTACTTGCAGCCGAGGCAATACTACATCCGAGACAGTTATCTTCGTTGGGCCCGTGGCCAGATTGCCGAGTGTGAGAAGCACGACCACCAGTTGGCGGATGATTCCTTTTGCCCAGAGAGGCTACTTGACGTACAGGGCATCGAGTTACGTTTGGTGGCACGCGAAGAGGCCTTCACGGCAGCACAGATTTCGAAGTACGCCGCTCTCAGTTACTGCTGGGGCTCAACAGGTGATGATGCTCGCGCGCAAATCACACTGACGCAAGGAAGTCTCGCCCAGCACCGGCTTGGGATCCGGTTCAAAAGGCTACCTCTCTCAGTGCAGGATGCGGTTGCCATGACCAGGGCCCTTTCCCTGCGCTACCTGTGGGTTGATGCACTTTGCATCTCGCAGGACGATCCAGCTGACTGGGACCGACAATGCGTGGATATGCACAAGATCTACGGCAACGCCTTTGTCACCCTCTGCGCTGCTTCTTCACAGAGCTGTCGCCAGGGGTTCCTCCAGCCTAAACCAGAGCATCGGATCTTGATGCCATACCGGTCATCCTTTGCGCCCTTTTCTGGGCAGTACTGCTTGCGACTGAGGGGGGCCGAAGCCGATATTGACTACGCCTCTGTAGTGACAAGCCTCAGGATCGCATTTGTCGCCAGGGATACTCGACATGAGGATTTCAAAACGGACAGTCGATGGGCAAGGAGAGGTTGGGTGTTTCAAGAGAGGGCTTCATCCCTCCGTAGCATCGTGTTTGGAAAACAAAACCTTCACTTCGTCTGCTCCAAAACCACCAAAACAATGAATGCTTCCTACAGCAGTTACGAAGCAGAAAGTTGGCGGCGTGACGACGCTGTGTTTAGCCTTTACCGACCCAGAGGCGGCCACACTCAGTCGGAAGTCTTGGATAGTTGGTTGGAATTGATACAAGCCTACAGCAAAATCCTGCCCGAATCGTTCACAGACAGGAGTGACTTCCTTCCTGCCATCTCAGGTCTGGCAGGCTTGTACCACCGATACCTAAAAGCAAGCCAAGGCGTTGTTGATGCTTTTCTCGACCCAGAGAAAGACTACATAGCTGGTTACTGGCGACAGGACATCCCCCGAAGCATCCTCTGGCACCTCGTCACCAACCCCACAGCAACCCCAACGTTACCAAACTACATCAGCTCTCTGCACTACCAATCTCACGAGCTTCACCTACCCTCGTGGAGCCAGATCTCTCGAGGATACACCCACTCAATCTTGAACAACAAACAATGCGGGATATACCCACACAACCCCCTCAACAACAACAACAACAACAACAACAACTTCAAACCCGAGATGGAAATCCTCAACACACACAACACCACCCCCCTGGGGGAGAAGAACCCCTTCGGCGCCATCCGACCAAACCCCCACCTCCACATCAGAACCAAAGTCTTGGCCTTTGCCACCATCCCAGACAACAGGCGGGTCTTCTCCGTCGGATCACCAATTCACCACCACCACCACCACCACCACCACCGCTCCCGTGTCTCGACCGAGTTCGAGCTCCGATATAACCTACACCCGCTCTGTCTCGTCACGCTAGACTTTGCGCCCAACCACAACAACAGTCACACGAACCAGAGGACACTGGACGACGACGACGACGACGTCAAGTCTGACCTCCTCCTCTCCCGCTGCCAGCTGGCCTTGGTGGGTCGGTATAGCAGCGAAGGCGAGCATGGTCGGGTTTTATATCCTATACTCCCACCACCACCACCACCACCAAAGACGAGTGGTGGTGGTTCCCCACAACACCAACACTTTTACCGAGTAGGTCTCTTCACTGGGCCAGGGCCAGGTGACGACATGTCGAGGCTATACACAGAGCAACCACCTGCTTCAGCCTTGTTCGACTTTTTGGCGGAGGAGAGGGTGATATTTCTGTATTGATACACCCAGCCATTTGTAACTTCATCTCGTTTTAGATGATATCAAGTGAACAGCGACAATATATACAAGGTATACAACACGTATATATTCCTCTCTACATTTACTCCCGCACCCCCCCACCCCTTCCCCAATCCATCCCAAACCTGACAAAAAACCTAGGCACATAGTACATACATACATAACCATATTTATCATCAAGTTTGCCACCGATCCCCAATCCAAACATCCAAAAAAAAAAAAAGAAAAAAAAAAAAAAGAGAAAACATAAAACCTAAGATATGCATGCATAAAGGTATCTACGCAAACCACAACAACCCCAACCACAACAACAAAAAGCAACAGCAACAACCAAAAAGAGATACCAAACCCCCGAAAAAGAGAAAAAGAAAATAAAAGTAAATTTGTCCCAAACTTTCCACACACACACTCTCTCTCTCATGATATAAAAATGATGAAAAAAAAGATATCCCTTTGCCCTAAATTTCCCCAATTGCAAATGCTCATGATATAAATCTCTCTCTCCTCTTTCTTTCTTTCTTCTTTCTTTTTCACAACACCAACAACCACCATCAACATACAACCTGAATTTAAACAAACTTTCTCACAACAACAACAACAACAACAACAACAACAACAACAACAACAACAACAACAACAACAACAACAACAACAACAACAACAACAACAACAACAACAACAACAACAACAACAACAACAACAACAACAACAACAACAACAGCAACAACAGCAACAACAACAACAACAACAAAACATCTTCAATACACAAACCACAAACCCACCAGCACCCCAGCCGCAACACAACCCCCAACCGTGACCACATCCACTAGTCAATGCCCATCACCACCGCCCTTATCCCTCTCATCCTCCTTCCCCTTTACCTCAGTCTTATCTCGCTCACCATCAACCTCCACAGTTTTCTCACCCTCCACCTCACCCCCCGCAACCTTCTTCTTCTCAACCCCATTCCCCACTACACCCCCAACCGCAGCAGAAGCAACATTAACAGGCCCCCCGCTAGCAGGCGTAGTCCCTCCCGCCCCAAGGTAAGCCTCCAGCTTCCGTTTCAGCACCTCCCCCCGGACCGGCTTCGCCAGGTAATCATTCATCCCCGCCGCCAAACACTTCTCCCTATCCCCCTGGATCGCGCTCGCCGTCATCGCAATGACCAGCACCTTCCTCACGCTCTCCAGCTCGTCCGTCCTCAGCAGCTTCGTCGCCTCGTACCCGTCCAGCACAGGCATCTGCACGTCCATCAGGATGATGTGATACGGCCTCCCCTCCTTCGCCTTCTCCCTCAACCCCTCCACCGCCTTGAGGCCGTTCTCATACGTGTCCACGTTTTGGGTAACCCAAGCGTTGCATGTACTGCATCGCAATCTTGGCGTTGATGGCGTTGTCTTCCGCTATGCAGATCCTCAGCTCATTTTTAGGGATCTGGGTTAGGTTTGGTGGGGCCGGGGGCAGAGGAGGGTGGGAGGAGGAAGGTTGGAAACCGCCTGTCAGTGTGGTGCTGTCGGACGAGTTTTCAGAGTTTGATTGTTGTTGCCGGTAGGCGGATTCAACCGGGAGCAGGCCGTCGTCACCATTGGCAAGAGCTTGCTCGTCGCCCGCCACCACCTCTGGCTTGGCTTTCTCAAAAGTAACCGTGAACCAGGCAGTGGTGCCGACGTTTTCTTCGCTTTCGAGCTGGATCGTGCCTTCCATCATCGTCTCGATCAAGGATTTGCAGATACTCAACCCAAGACCGCTACCGCCATACTTTCTCGCTGTGCTGGCGTCTGCTTGGCTGAAGGGCTGGAACAGGTTTTCGAGGTGCTGCTGGGAGATACCAATGCCCGTGTCCTTGACCCAGAACGTCAAGGTGGCCTTGTCAGGAGTCTCCTCGTCGATCCGAGCGCCGATGGTGATGGACCCGTCCTCGGTGAACTTCAAACTGTTTCCTATCAGGTTGCCGAGTACTTGGTGCAGACGTATCGGGTCTCCGTAGATGAGCATAGGCGGGAGATTGATGTCTTGGACAATCTTAACGTTCTTTTTGGACGTCTTCTCCCGGTTGCTGTAAGAGACTGCTCGTACCACTTCTCGGACCATCTCCTCCGGGTTGAAGGCGATAATGTACAGCTTCATCTTGTCCGCTTCCATGCGTGAAAAGTCGAGGATGTCGTTGATAACCGTGAGCAATAAATCTGCCGATACTCTGATGGAGTCCGCCATCTCCATCTGCTCTCTGTTGAGGCCGCTGTCACGAAGAAGTTCCGAGTTGCCAATGACACCATTGAGTGGCGTGCGCAGCTCGTGAGAGACGTTGGCAAGGAATATTGACTTGGCCTTTGTGGCTTCCTCAGCAAGCTTGACATTGCGAATGGCCTCTGCTTCAGCATTCTTGGCCTTGGCCTCAGCCTCGATCGCTGTCGCCAAAGCCTGTTTCTGCAGCTCAACCATGGAGATATTCTCAGCCGAGACCCTCTCCACAGACTTCATGGACAAGGCATTGGAGTAGCTGATGCTAATTTGTCCGACAAGAAGCTCCAGCACAGTAACGTTGCGATCTGTGAACGATCCAGGGAGGCCTTCGAGATAGAGCACCCCCAACAGAGGCTTGCTATTCCCATGACGAATAGGAACAGCAATGACAGCCTTGCTGTTTGGGTTCTTGCGTAACCACTGGTCACTGACGTTGCCAAACCTCTCGTCATTGACCAAATCCTGGAGGAAGACCTTCTCTCGCAGTCGAGTGCAGTACAATATAACGTTCTCAGGCACAAGATCGGTGCCGCTGAGCGGAATACCCGGAATATGAGCCGTAGCACCATTCTCTGAATCACCACTTGCAGCCACGCACCAATCTACACTGCCCTCATCCTGAACAATAATAGCAGCAAACGTCGCAGACCCGCTGCAAGCCTGCAAGATCACAGAGCACATAGTCCGGAGAAGCTCATCAACCCTCAACACCGAAGAGATGGCCTGTGAAGAGGTGAGAATGCCATGCAAATCGATCATATCAAGCGCAGGCAGACCGGCCCCCGCCTCTGGCTGCATGGACCCTCTCCACGCCATCATCCGCTCCCCCTTGAGCGCCGCCACCGCCGCACGCGTCGACTGCTGCGACTCCTCAGTGTCGACACCACGGTACTGAACCGACGCTGTATCGCCGAAGAAGTCCGTCTGAACCCCGGCATCACACGTTCGAAGGTTGCCAGCCGGCCCATGTAGAAGAATACTGTGCTCAGTCTCAATGAGGTCCGCAATGCCCGTAGCACCAAACTGGCGGTACAGACTAACAGCATCTCGAAGGGCTGACCTGGCCGACCGTCTTGCAGCATTCCTAATGAAGATGTTGGCCATCAGGTAGTTTCCAAGTGCCTCCTCAAACACAAAACCATGCTCCGACGCGTGGTCGAGCGCCTCCTCGTATTGTCGAATGGCTATCCCATGATTGCCCAGCATCTCCGAGACCTGAGCATCAAGGAGCTTAGACCAGGCAAGATAGTTGACATTGTGAACAGCCTTCCAATCCTTGATCTTCCGGTTGAGCTCTTCCACCTTGCGAATCGCCTCATCACGTCGAACCTTGGGGTCCCCCTTTGGTGGCTCGCGAGGGTCCTGCTGTTCCCGGAGCACCGTGCCGGCCAGAGCCAAGCCGTAAAAGAACATGGCTAGCCTGGTGTTTCGAGCGGACCACAAAAGTTCCGCCTGTTCCAAGCACGCCTTTCCAATTTCGATGGCTCGCCCGTAGTGTCCGTAGAGGAAGAGCGGTACGATCTCCATTGTCTCGTAGAGTAGGAGCGACCTGCCGCCATTGTTGGTGTGCGTATTCAGCCAGTTCTTGTAGGTTGAAGCGTCGTGCTGATCATCGTTCATAACCTCAAGCGGTTGAGATGCTCGGGTTTTTCCCTGCAGAGCGCGGCAAAGCTGGCGTACACTTATCAGAAGCGTGCCGCCCTTTGTGTCGAGGTGCCAGCTGGGGATGTCGTCGCAGGCAAACTGGCAGTAAACCTCGAGTTCGGCACAGTCCTGACTGGCAAAGAACTTGAGCAGAGCAAGAAGCCCAAAGCTAAGAATGACGGAGACTCTATCTCCCAAGGGAGCTGCCGCCAGCACGTTGGCTTCCAGCTGCTCCACAGTGGCCCCGGTGAGGTCTTGAATGTTGCCGATGAAGTTGGCGTAGATCATGTAGCCCCGGACCAAGGAAAATGGGTCCGATGATTTTTGTAATAAATCAAAACAGATGCTCGCCAGAGATTGCGCAAAATCTACCATGTTGAACCGAGAGAGTGCAATCATGGACATGTGCAAAAACGCCATGCCCGACTGCGGATAGGGACCCTTGGTAAAGTGAGTCTCGACCATCAACAGGGCAAGCTGGTAGAACACGACGCAATCGCTCCACCAGCCAGCACTTGTTGTCTCGGCCAACACGGCTCCTAGGGATACCAGAGATTCGGGTGGAGGATCGCTTGACGCTAGTGGATTCATGACGTCTTGACGGTCCATATTTTGAATCTTGACTGACAGCTTCTCAAACTGCTCGTCGCATTTCTTCATGGTGGGACATTCGTCCACATTGACGCCAAACGCCCGCAAACACTGCCGCAACGACGTCAAGGCCTGGGCAGAGTCACCGCTCTGAGCAAAAATTCTCGACTGCAGCACCCAAGCAGGAGTCTTGTCAAGCGGTGACCTTGCGTTCTCAATCATTGTCTGCAGAAGCATGTTTGCCGAGGGGGGACGGCCCATGTACAAAAAGCACTCAGCAGCCCGACGATGTAGCTGGAGTGTTTCCTCATACGACACATCCGGCGCATCGTCATTCCATGGGTCCGACTGCAGCAGGGCTAGAGCATTGCTGTAATACTTTGCCGCTGTGGGTCGCGCGCCGCTCTCGACCGCCTCTCCTGCCCGCTCCATCAAGACCTTTCTGAACGGTGCCCTTTCCGATATTCGCTTTTTGATGACTTCGATTGATTCGCAAATATGGGAAGCCGTGTTTTCTTGGGATTTGGGGAAATGCGCGAGGAGCGTGCGAGCAATGACGAAGTGCATCTTGAGCGAGTTGCACTCTCTGAGCGCAGACGCAGCCTGGATATATCTGTCGTGAGCGAAGCGGAACTGGTCATCCCGGTCTCCTGGGATGATGATGTACGCCTGGATGGCAGCTTCCAGCCCTGCAAAGATGTCCTGCTTCCCATGCGGAAGGATGGCGCAGTCATCACTCCCGTCTTGGTTGTCGTCGGTATAGTAGAACTCGCCTTCCATCAACTTTTCGATAAGGTCGAGGGAAAACGTCTGCCCAATGAGAGCAGCCCAGGCCAGGATTGATCTCGATTCCTGTGGTAGCTCTCCCAGACGACGGGTAATAAATGCTGTATCAAGCACGTCGTAGTCTTGCTCCCCACGGAAGTGCTCAAACAGCCGATCCAGGTCAAACTTCCACCGGCCCTCAGTGTAGTCATACCAGATACACTTCTTGCGGTGACCAGCACTGAGCATCTCCCTCATATAAAAGGGGTTTCCTGCTGTTTTTGACTGGAGAACGAGAGCTAGCGAGACGACCTGATCTTTAGGTAACGAGAGCGTTGTCGAGACATACTCTCGAATTTCTTCCTCGCTAAGTGGATCCAGCGTGATTTTGGTGGTTATGGGGTAACAAGCCCGAAGGTGATCCTCGGACTTTGGCGGATTTGTTATTGTATATAGCTTTTCGGGAGACATTTCGTCTGGACGGTAAGTGATTATGAGCACCATCTGCAGTTTGGCACTGACAATCTGCGTGATGAGCTCCAAACTCTCGTCGTCCGCATAGTGAAGGTCGTCCAAACAGAAACAGATAAACTTGTGGCGTGTGAATAGTCGCAAAACGTCGAGGAAGATGTTGGCGAGACGGTTTACTTTGGTAGTTGAGCCGCCTCGAAGGAATTCTTGGGTGCTTTGGGCCGAGGAAGAAGCCGAGGAAGCTCCCAGTTTTGAAGAAGCGCCAGAGAATTCTGGCGAAGAAGGTCGCCTCCTCAAGTTGTTAGATTTCGGAGGCTGAGGACTGGAAGATGATCTCCCAAGGGGCGTATCTAGACGTGGGAGCATATGCTCAGGAAGACCTAGCACCTTGTGCAATGTGGGCCATGTGGGACGGACGGATTGCTTCAAAGCCTGATGAAACGGGGTATCTGTGTTCCTCTCCCCCCAGACTTGGCGGAAAAGGGAAGACAACAGCTTGATGAGGGGCCCGTAGGCCGTCCTCCTTGCAGTGTCGAACTTGGCTGTTGCGCAATAGCCCATTCTGCGGGCATCCACCAGAACGGACTGAACCAGACAGGTCTTGCCGAGCCCACCTGCACCTTCGATCATCACAATCTCACACTGGCCTTGCTTCCGATATTTTGCAGGGCCGAGTGGTCGGGATATGCTAGCCGCTGAAGAGTCGGTCCCGTTGGTTGCCACCGCGGCACTCCGCCAGGAAGGTTCTGACGTGCTTGCTTCCGCGCTCTGGACCGATTCTTTTAGAGACACGCTGTGTTGCCGATCCCACGGCCGGGGTGGTCTCACGGCCCCAGACGAGTTGACCTCTGTGTAGGCGCCCACGGAATCGACGCCCACAGCAGAGTGATAAAGACTGCTCCGTCGATCCTTGTTTGTAACTGAGGTCCCAAAGCGGTTCGTCCCTTCGGCAGAGCTGGCTCCATCACTCGAAACATCGGCAGCGTCCACCTCGGTCGATACGTTTGAGCCATCAGACTGGCGATGTGCGGCAGCACCATTCAGAGCCAGACTGTGTCTCTTGGCCACTCTATCGATTACTTTGAGGAGCTCGGCCCGTTCCCGCTCCCGTCCAATCATCGATGATGGCAGTCTAAAAAAGGACGAGACGTCGTTGGTGCCGATTTTCATGTCCTTCAAAGCTTGTAAATCTCCCACCCCAAGCAACTTCTTGACCCAGGTCAGGTCATGCCGAAGACCGCTGGCGGAATAGTACCTGTCATTAACATTTTTTGCGGTGCACTTCTGGATGATACGCCCAATCACCTCGGGGACATCTATTCGGAATGTTGAAATGCTGGGTATCCTGCGACTGAGCACGCCTTGTACAACGTCGAGGGGGGATTCTCCGTGAAATACGGGATGTTGGGTAAGAAGGCTCCAGAACAGAGCACCTAACGAGTATATGTCTGTCCGGGTATCCGGTTCGGCCGGCATCCGTCCGGTTTGTTCGGGACTGATGTATTGCAGCTTGTGCTTTGCGCCTAGTTCTCTTGATAAGGCCGACCAACCGGTGCTGGTGAGTCCATGCTCAAATGATCTCAACCCTGAGCCAAGGCACACCAGCTTCACCTTATTTGTTTCGACATTATAGTGGAATGTGTCGCCACGTATTTCGCCGTGAATCGTGCCTTGCCCATGATGGATCATTTCCAGACTTTGCGCCGACCCAATGGCAAAATCCAAAAAGTGCTGTAAGCTGATGGGAGGGGCTAGTTTGTGCCCAGTGTGCCCAGGACGGGAAGGCTCCCACCCATCTCCATGCTTCTTCGCATAATAAAAAGCAGGTCCTAAATCCAAGACATCCCACAGGTAGTTGGGCCCGGGATCCTCATAGACTGTGACAATGACGGCCCCTCTATCTCCTGGTAAAGCTGGAAGTCGAATTATGTCGAGCGGTTTTACTATCCGCTCGCGTTCGGCACTCGAATCGGTGTGTGCGATCAAGCTTTTAAAAATATGAAAAGTCCTCTCCTCTCGTAGTACGTGATATGACACCCGAGCCACTACCGGCTCTTCTATCACCGGGACATCGGACCCAGTGGGCGGGATTACTGGGAGAGAGGTGGCGGAACGTTCGCTGCCGACTTCGCTAAGCTGAGACGATGTCGATGGGCGGTGGTCGCGGGAGGACGGTCGATGCGCGGGAGGTAGGGTGAAACCGGCAACGCCCGGCTGGCTTGCTGGACTGTTGTGAGGCGCCGGTGATGTCGGAACAGCCCCCCCGCTGGAAAACGGCGAAACAAATCTCGTCCCATATATGTGCCAATTATCGTAGGTTGAATGAAATGGTGGCCTTGAGTCGTCCCAAACATAGCCAGAAATCTGATGCAGCCTCTCGAAGAGGCGGGCCGGGGACTCGAGCTGCTCGTCGAGCAGCCTCGCGGCGGTATCCATAGTCGCGGAAACTCGAACAAAGCCCCGCGGACTCAGGGATCACAGGCTCGTCGGGCAGGGGTGGTCGCGAAGGTCGTCATATTCCGTTCAGCTCATGGCCTCGAAGCTGTTGATGCTGGAGAGGGGAACGGATGTCGGCAAGCGGGGGCGAACGAATGGCAGAGACAAAGCGGGTCCTTGAGTCGAGTCCACGAAACTCGATCCAAATTTTTCAGCGTTGCAGCAACGAGATATCTCGAGTTTCCTTCGTGCGCGGTATCGAGCGGCCAGCGCCGGAAATGTGGCTGGATTTCAAGTTGCGAGGGAAGTGCCGGGAAAAGCGCGGGGGCGGGTGGTCAGATATCGCGAAGCTGTGGCGGGAGTTTAGGCGGCCAGAGAGTTATCACAACTCGGTGAACCGGTGACTGGTGAGTGGTAAACAGCTACACCGGCTAGGGTATAGGTATAGGTAGGTATAGTTATAGGTATGGGGTATCAGACGGCACTCGTAGGTAAAAAGGAACACCAAAGGCTGAGGTGAGCTCGAGTACCTAGGTGGTCACAAATTAGTGCGGGTTCATCGGTCTGGTGGTGCAGGATGGTCAAATACGGTCAGGTAGATCTCAGGATTGGGCCAGCTGCAGACGATGGGCAGGACGGAACGGTCAGGAGGAAATCTGCCAAGTAAACCCCAACGCAAGTCCAAGAAAGAGAAACGGCACCCCGGGCCCGACAGTGAGTGGGTGGCGGCAGGGCGGGTCCAAATTTGGAACAGTCGAGTAGGAAACAAAAACCACTCGAGGCGACCACACACAAATCACACAGCAGCAGCACACCACGGGCAGCAGCAAGTTGTTTGTGTGTGTGTGAGTGTGGATAGGGGAATGTGGGATAAGATAGGTAGGTGCTGGTGGTAGGTTGAATGGAGAGATGGCCGGGATGGAATGGGCAATACCAGAAACCGTAATCAGGACGAAGTGGGTTTGCTGTGTGGTCGGATTTCCAAGTTTTCCCATTTCCCCAGCGAGCGGGCTCCAAATCCATCTGTTCGGTGCCCGTGTAGCTTGTGGCTCAATCGCTTGCCCCTCTTTCTGCGCTTGTGCTTTTTTAACGCAGAAACAAATTACGGATCCGGAACAGGCGCGCGAACTTTTGCCTTGGCCCGGATGCGCGCCCAAGCATAGTAGGGCAGATGCCATGCATAGTGTGATAATATCCTACACTAGGGTTTGCTAATGTAGATATCACTTACACCCGCCACCCCCCATAGGACAGGGCCATTTTTCTTTCCTCTCCAGAGAGCCCGAGTCGTCGTGGGACATCGGCTGCCGTTAGGTTTAAAGTCGTCTGGTAGCTGCAGCGCCGTTGACGTCACTCTCTTATTCCTAACCGAAAATGCACGCCAACCCCCTGGTTTGTGCCGGGCCGCCTCGTGTCTCTTCAGCACCCACGTCTCAGCTCAGCCTTTCACGTGAGCGGGGGACAAGATCAATATGTCTGACTTTTTGAACACAACACATGCAATGTCATCCGCAGAGTACAATCAAGCATCCTTAGCAGAGAGATCCGATGCCCTGAAATGTTCACGCCGTCAAGCCTGTATTAGTTCTATCTTTTGACTCTATAACGTGTAGCTGGCAGGAAATCTCTCTATGCCTTGCTTTACCGTCACTGGAAATCGTTTTATTCCGTTCCCGCATACCTACTTGAAATTCCAAGTAAATGCCCCAACCCAACACCTACGGCCCAAATCTCGACAGGCTATACACGCAAAACTCCCGCTCCCATTCCCATATATGCTTTGTATTACCAATATAGCCGGCGCTCACTATCGCCGACTGGATATCCCATCACCACTTACGCCCGTTCCCTGGAAGGAAGCTCCTTGGGGGGTGTCCCTGCGCTGTAGAAGGGCTGGTCAAGTCTCCGCTCCGTGTTGGCGCGGGAGTTGACAAAGTCGGGGTAGTTGAGGGTCAACTCGACAGCACCGCTGACGATGTTGTCGACCGCCTCCACACCGAGCATGAAGGAATGGTCCTGGTTGCCAACCTCGTATCTCCAGCTGCCGAAGCGACCGCGAGACCAGATGCCCTGGGCCTGGAGCTTGGGGAGGAGCTCCTTGAGAACACCTTCACGCTCGAGCGATGGGGTGGGGTAACCGTGGTCAAACTTGCGGTGGTAGGTGGAGATGATCTCGTCCTCGGGCTTGATCATCTCCGTGTTGATGAGACCCTGGATGCAGTCCCTGAGGATGTTCTCCTCATCAACTGGCTTCATGGTGGACTGGGAAACCTCCAACATGATGGACCAGTATGGACCGGGCTTGGCCTCGCTCGAGTCAGCCTTGCTGCCATCAGCCTTGTAGAGAGTGGGCAGCTTGACGTCGGCCTGGGGCTGGTTGTATGGGGAGTAGTTGGAGAAAATGGTGGCGCGGTAGAAGGGGCAGTTGTCCTCGGGGAAGTACAACCAGCACTTGTCGCCAATGCGCTCGGGGCGCTCGCCACGGATACCAACACCAATGACGTGGGTGGAGGAGTAGTAGAGACCCTTGGAGAGAGTGATCAACTCCTGGTTGCCCATCTTCTCAACGAGGTGGTCAACAGCCATGGTGTTGATCAGCTTGTCGTAGCCGACGGTGGTGCCGTCCTTGAGGGTGACAACCTTCTTGTCGGCATCGACCTTGGTGACCTCGCCCTTCTCGCCATAGCGCTTGTTCTTCTCGGGCAGAGTGTCGGAAACGGCGATCCAGATACCACCAGTACCATCTCTGGCGGGGAAGCGGAATGTGGCGTTGGGGCCCCAGTTACCGGCAGTCTTGTTGAGGATAACGTTGCGGGTCACCAGCTTAACGTCGGGGGCGGCGACACGCTCGCCGAGCCACTGACATTGCATCTGTAGTGAGCAGCCAAGTCAGCCAGATGCTCACCGCAAGAGTCATTCACACGCAGGGTCCTCATACCTTGGTGGTGGGAACAGCCCACACCTTGTAGTTGTAGGGTCTCATGAAGACGTCGGCAACGCCCTCACCGCACGTCCGGAGAATCCACTCGTCAAAGTTCTTGGGCTTATCGGTGGCAACGCGGGCAGCCATGGCGGCATCGATCAAGCCGTCGATGCACTTGACCTGGTCCTCCTTGGGAAGCATCGAGATGTTGTTCTGGAATGGGTAGGGAACCCATTGGCCCTTGTAACGAACGTATGAGATACGCTGGTGGGTGTACCAGTCGTCTGGCTTTGGGAGGGCCTCGTCGATGCAGTCATCGAAGTACTTGTAGTGAGAGAAGATGACATGGCCACCAACATCGTAGAGCTAAGCAACACGGTGATTATCAGCAGCTGCCCAAAGTTGACTTGCAGATAAAGTAACGGGCTATGAAATGAATCGAGATACTTACGAAGCCTTCAGGAGTGACATCGGTAGACGCAAGACCGCCAGCCTTCTCGTTGGCGTCGAGGATCAGCCACGAGGGACCGTTCTGTTGCGTTGTCAGTGAGTTGGGCGCGGAAACGGTATGCGACGCCCCAGCGCCTGGGGTAAACTCACGATGTGGTTGAGACGCTTAGCGGCACCCAAACCGGTTGGGCCAGCACCGATAACGAGAACGTCGACCTTACTGTCGAGGAGAGTTTGAGTTTAGTATAACAGTCGAATTCAAAGCCCAACGGGGAGCTCTAGGCGGTCAGCAAGAGGCCGTCAAGGTAGGTTGAACTTACATGTCAGCCATTGTGGAGAAAGTCAACTGGAAGGTAGGAAGAAGCTTGGGCAAAGCAGAAGCAGAAGGAGGAACTGCTGGTGAAACAACGAGCGAGCGGCGGGCTGTTTATTATCTTGTTCGAAGCAACGATCCAGACGAAGACAATGCGATCAGGTCAGGAAATTGGGAAGGTTCTTAGTGGGGGGGGGTTATGGGCAGACAGAGCGGACAGAGCAGGAACAGGGCAGCAACACAGATTACCCCCCCTCTTCTGGGAGATGAACCAGGGCCCTGGAAGGAAGGCGGTGACCGCACGTGTGTCGTGGTGCTGATCCAAGGTGCTGCTTGGACGCTTTGGACTGGTTGCTAGGCCGGACCGCGACTTCCAGTTCCAGAAAAAAGGGGGTCCTGATGGAGGGGCTAAAATTATTCAATCCGCCAATGAGCAGCTAGCCCCAAGAAATAAAATATCCAAGAACCCCTGCCGTGACATCCCGCATCGCATCGAGCTCACATCACACCCCATCTACAGAGTACAGTACGGAGTACCTTAGTTCTGTACAAGTACCTGTGTGTGCCTGTGTGCCTCTGTGTGTGTGTGTGTGTGTGTGTGTGCCTGTCGGTACTTTTCCGCTTATTTATTTTTGTTTTTCGACGCTGGTTATTATGAGAAAGTAAAATGACTGCAACACAGATGGACAGGCGGTTATCGCAGACTCCCATCCGAACCACCAACCGCAATGCCCACTCTGCACCACCCCAGGACATTAAAATGAGGAGATGCGATTCCAGACGACATGGTGGGGAAGCCTCTCACAGCAAACAGCCCGCAGCAAGCAGGGAACGCCCAGTTTCGAGTTGACAAGCTTTACGGAGACACTCCAGCCTTCAGCACGCCTCCAAAAATCCTCAGTGTCAGTGTCATGATGAGGGGCACAGAGGTCACAGATGCATACATGCATGCGAGATCCCGAGAGGCAAAAGAGCTTGTGCTGCATGTGCATCTCCAACTGGTCCTGTATGACCTCCTCTTCTGCTGCGTCGGACTGGGCTGGGACCGGCACATGAGCTCCAAAGCTGCGCCTGTTTCAACGTTTCAACTCCATGGGGCGGTCGACTATGATCAGCAATGGGCTGCGTGGCCGCATGTTAATCCCTAGCTCAACGGCTTCAAACGGGCCTCAACAAGAAACAAACAACAACATCGAGCAACCTTGTCCTGGCTATTGTTACAGACCGAGTAACACGGCCTCACCAAGTTACGGGTTGCAGCAGCAAGAAGAGGGAGGACAATAAGCTTCTTCAAGAGCTTTCCGCAAAGGGATCCCAGCTCTTGTACCCATCGAACTTGTTTCAAGACAGCTTGCCTCAACAGCCTATAAAGACAACCTCGCAGAAAAATCCATGTTAGTATGGCCGTACGATTCAGACATCCGACGAGCCACAGGTCCGACGGCTTTCCTCCGGTGCTGTTTCGTGACGGCCCCGGCGAGCTGCAGTTCATCGACTGTTTCGTACAGCGAGCTGAAGCAAACGACCATGTATTCAGATGTAGAAGATTCTCCCGGAACAACAAACATTTCGTCAATGGCTAGAAACTTAAAACTCGAGACTGCGGCGGCCGTCTTGACGATTGATGCCATGCCATGCCTTTGGACCCCGCCGGAGAATGCCGCTCTTTTATTGTTGGACACGGACGTCAAACAGAAAAAAAGTCAGGGAAACATGAACCAGTGCGATGGGGCAGACTGGACTGAACTTTGCTCGATCTACATATCGCTACACTAATAATAATGCTGCAGATTCGTAAGGACTACTCCGCGACTTTTAATGATCACGTCTCAGGCTGCTGGCTGAACTGGAGTATCGATAGAGATTTTCGGGCTCCAAAGATAGGAAACATTGAAGACTCAACAGCCATTGGCTTTTGAGATATGGTACAGAGCAACATGTGGCCCTCGGATGGCTGCTGATTTGACACATCCTGTTTCTATCGCCCCTGACCAGGTTTGTGAGGTTTGGTAGATGTTGAAGTTGACGTGATCGGCCACCCACTTGTATCGGATCTTTAATCTGCTTTTTAGTTATATCTCTCGCGTAGATCTATCCATGACCGTGATGTCGTCAACTTCATTTCCTGTCCCCTGGTAGGATTCATGCCCATGCTATGATGGCAGGTCTTGAACAAGGCACATTGCCTGATTTGGCTTAGTTCCCGCTGTGTTTAAGCGTTTGTCTACCCGTTGGCTAGCTTGAAGACCGTGGTAGGTACTGTGGCCGAAGCGGGCCGTATCAATGCACGACTGTGACGAGGAGTAAGCCCTGGACTTGACCGCCCACGGTGCCATCTTTGTGTGTCTCTGGCTCTCTGCCCGTGGCAGAAGAAGACACGAAGTAATAGAGACAAGTGACTGTGTGAATTGGCTGCCCTTGCGCTGTCACGATGGTCGAGGCTCGAGGGTCGAGTCCAGTCTTTTTGACGGTTGCAGTTGGTTACGTATGGGAGCGTAATCCGTAATCTGTTCGCAGCCAGGGCCAATTTCCCAGATAAAGCTGTGATTGGCCACCCTTGACAGAACGCAACCCATCCCAGCACCGCCGAGTGCCCACCACCACCACCGGTTCCCCTGTCGCTTTTTACCCACGACCCGCGTTCCCCTTTCGAGAACCTGACGCTCCCTTTGCCCCCATCCCCGTCACAGGCGTCCCCCCCTAAAAAAAAAAGTCCAAGTCGAGGAGCATCCAAGCAACAACCTCGCCCAGCCCTACACATCACGAGGCACACTCCAAGCAGAAGTACCGACAAACAAAGCCTCCTAGCACCCCTAGCACCGCACTTCTCCTCCTTCCTCAGCTCACTGTCGCAGTTCTTCTTCCCATACGGTCGCAGCTGGCTTGGCCATCCACTCGTTTTGTTCACACCGCAGCACGACCTACAACGTCCTGCCGCGCCGCAGCCAACACTCGTCTCAAATTTCTCGACGTTGGCTTTTTACCCTTCTCTCGACATCGACGTGATATCCATCCGCGAGCCCTCGAGGAGCCTTCAGATCTAACAACACAACGACTGCAAAGATGGGCGTCGACGAGAAGGTTCGCGCCTCTGGCGAGCAGGTCCGAGATACCCTCCCGACAGTCAACCCAGACGTCGAGAAGTCGCAACCACCCAAGCCATCACTCCATCCGGCTTTCTACGTGACGTGAGCAGCCGACACTCCTAAAATCACGCGAATGCTCAGATAACTAATTGGTCTTGTCTTGTAGCATCTGGATTTCCCTGAGTTCCTCCGTCATCCTCTTCAACAAATGGATTCTCTCCACGCTCGGGTTCGGTAAGGCCGCCTACAACCAGGAATGCACCAGGAAGCAGAACACATGCTAAGACTTGCCAGAATACCCGGTCATCCTCACGACCTTCCATTTGGTGTTCGCTACCGTCATGACCCAGCTCCTTGCTCGCTACACCACTCTCCTCGATGGCCGCAAGACGGTCAAGATGACTGGCCGGGTCTACCTTCGCGCCATTGTTCCGATTGGTTTCTTCTTCAGCTTGAGCTTGATTTGCGGCAACTTGACCTATCTCTACCTTAGCGTTGCCTTCATCCAGATGCTCAAGGTGAGTTGCAGTGATTGGAATCTACAGACGTGCACATTGTTGGGCTAACCGTGCTACCCAGGCTACCACCCCTGTCTTCGTCCTCTTTTCCAGCTGGGCGCTCGGCGTCTCTCAGCCTAACCTGAAGGTCTTCCTCAACGTCTCAGTCATTGTCGTCGGTGTGGTCATCGCGTCGATTGGCGAGATCAAGTTTGTTTGGATCGGCTTCATCTACCAGATCTTCGGCATTGCCTTCGAGGCCCTCCGCTTGACCATGGTTCAGCGCCTTCTGAGCTCGGCTGAGTTCAAGATGGACCCCTTGGTGTCGCTCTACTACTTCGCCCCAGTTTGCGCTGCCATGAACTTTGTCGTTGCTCTCTTCTGGGAGTTCCCCAAGCTTAGCATGCAGGAGGTGTATGACGTTGGTTTCATGACCTTCTTCCTCAACGGCTTGTGCGCTTTCGCCCTCAATGTCTCGGTTGTCTTCTTGGTAAGTCTTGGCCCCTCAGACGCAACGCCACGTACGCTGCTAACCCCTTCTCCACAGATTGGCAAGACTTCTTCGCTCGTCCTTACCCTCTGCGGTGTGCTCAAAGATGTGCTCCTTGTTGTTGCCTCCATGATCATCTGGGGCACCCAGGTTACTGGCCTCCAGTTCTTTGGTTACAGCATCGCCCTTGGTGGCATGGTCTACTACAAGCTCGGCTACGAGGCCATCAAGGGCTATGCTGGCGAGGCTGGTCGCCAATGGGCTGACTTTGGCAACCGCCGCCCCATCCTCCGCCGCATTTCGATCATGCTCTTCACTGTCATGACCGTCTTTGTCCTCCTCGGCGGTCTTGCCCCTACCTATGCGCCGGGCATGGACCCCACCGAATACCTGAACGAGGCCAAGAACAAGATCGGCATCGCCAGACTATAGACGACACGACGACGCCCACCGGACGGGGAATTAATGGCATCCTATACATTTTTAATTCTCCCATTTAGTGTTAACCCTATACGGAGTTTAATCGAGCCTTCGTCCAGCTCCACACTCGTTCGAGAACAACTGACACACACACCACAACTTGATGGGACACTGACGGCTTTTGTTCTCACCACAAATGACCAAGACTACCTTCTACTGATGACCACGAACTTTGGCGAGCGCTGCGCCACTTCTTTCCAGCACATATTTTACTACCTTCATTTGTTCGCCAACTTCTTTTGAGCTCCTTTTCCTTGGCTCGCTCTAGTGGAAAGGCAGGAGTATTCAGGAATGGCGGATCTGTTGTTTTTTATTTTACCTTCTTCACACACCATTATCATACATAGATCAGCGAAAGATGAGAGGGGGAGAGATTTTGATTTCTTTTTGAGTTTTGCGTGTGGGGAAATAAAGGTCTACAAAAGGGGCGTCATGAACAACATGTAACAAAGACATGGATGGGACATGCATGATGATAGGAAGCGGGGCACATATGGAGAGGGATAAGGGGCTTGGGGTAGCGATCTGTTTTAGTACTACATAGGAGAATGGGAGTTTCTCTGAGAGGATTGCTGAATTCTCGGTGTATATGGCGAATGTGAGATTTGATGGCTTCATCAGACGAAACAAACAACCATTTAGTTCAATACAGCTTTTATGTGTGTATTTTTCACGCTCAGGATGTCTCTGTCCTTCAGCGGAAATCATGTCCTATTTGAAAAGATCATTGTATATTCGAAGTCGTCCGCATATGTTGAACATCCATAGCCAACCACTTTTCTCATGTCACTCCGAGCCATAGACAGATGATCAAGCAACTCTTGATCATTGTTGACAAAATCCCAAATATCAATTTTACCTCCCATCATGCCATCATGAATCCCATCCCAAATTATAACGCCCCAAATGCATGTTAACCCCTAGCTATATTTACAAATTTCCCCTCTCCGCCTGCTCCCGCTCAATAGCCTCAAACAAACTCTTGAAATTCCCCGCGCCAAACCCCTCAAAATCCTCCCGCTGTATAATCTCGATAAACACCGTCGGCCTGTCCATCAAAGGCTTGGTGAACAACTGCAGCAAATACCCCCCCTCGTCATAATCAATAAGGATATTCAACCTCTCAATCGTCTCCAGACTCTCCTTGAGCTCCCACCTCCTCTTCTCCGCTTTGAGCCTCTGCCTCATGGTGTCATAGTACGTAGACGGCACATTGATAAACTCGACCCCCCTCTCCCTCAAGGCAGACACAGTGGTGATGATGTCCTCGGTGAGCAGAGCAATGTGCTGCACCCCAGGGCCAGAGTTGAAAAGGACGTACTCCTCAATCTGGGACTTTTTCTTGCCCGGCGCGGGCTCGTTGATGGGCATTTTCACGAGATTGTTGCTGCTCGCCATGACGATGGAGGACAAGGCGGAAAAGTCGGTGCAGATCTGGTTGTCGTCTACGGACCAGAAGCGGTGGAAGTCGAGGCAGGACTCGTAAAAGGCGCAGGCGGAGACCATCTCGTTCCAGTCTTGGTTGCCGACGCAGTGGTCGATTCTTTTGAGGGGGACGGTGGGCATGGGGATGGGGGAGGGTTTGGTCTGGACGATGGCGCGGAAGCCGGGGAGGAAGGGGCCGCGGTAGGTGGACCGGGAGATGAGGGTGTGGGTTGTGTCGCCGTAGGTTCTGATCACGGCTGTGCGGACGAGGCCGGATTCCTTGTCGCCGAAGGACTGAGGGGGTTGGACAGAGTCGGCTCCGTTAGCGACGGCTTTGGCGTAGACGCCGTCTATGTTGTCTACTTCGAAGGCGACGTCCTTGACGGCGTCACCGTGTCTCTCCAGGTGGGCGTGGATTTCGGCAAGGAGGGCGCGGTCAGAGTCCGAGATGGGATCGTCCTCGGGGAGGTGGGCGGCGGAGCGGATGGGGGAGGTGAAGACGAAACGGACGCCGGCGTTTTCGACCACGTAGGAGGCCGTGTACCGAGAGCCGGTCTCGAGACCCTTGTAGGCGATGGTTTTGAAGCCGAAGAACGAGTTGTAGTAGGACGCGGCCTGTTTGGCGTTGCCGACCCACCAGGTTATGTGGTCATAGCCGTTGAAGTTGTTGGGAGCGCCGTTGGGATCCTGGACGGCGTAGTCCGAGTCGGCTGAGTAGCCGTTTGAGTGGGAGTTGGTGTCCGAGATGGCAGATGGGGACATGCTCACAAACCAAAGTTGATGAGATATGCAGTCGAGGACAAACTCTAAAAGGTATGATAGGTATTGAGGGAGGATGACGACGTGATAGCTACACAGAATCTCTCTTGGGCGTTGGAAAACAAACAAAGCCACCAAGGGGGAATAAGAACAGACTTATATAAAAGTCAGAACCATCCAACCAAGTCAGTCTGAGGTCGGCTTAACAAGCCCCTTGTCTTCTCCCAAGTTCCGTTCGTGGGAAACGGGGAATAAGTCCAGGACATCCGCGCACGTCACCCCCCCGCGAAACCTGGGGTAGAGCTTATCGTTTTGCCAGTGCACGAGGCATGGCTGGAGCCTCTCCCGATCGAACACCGCATGGTATCAAAGGAGCACCAGGAACACCCACAACTGGTTGCTCCAGTATCTGCAATCTTCCGTGATCCTTTGATTGGTTTCCACCACGTTAAACACAGACATCAACCGTCCCCCCGTGGCCTTCGTTTCCCATAGCTTTTCTGACTGAATAGCGCTGAATAACAGCGGGTGAGCGCGTATCATCCTCCTCCTCCTTCCGGTTCAGACGAACCTAATTCCTGGGTACCATACGTACAATGACGATAAAGCCGAATCGAGGATTGTTGTTTGCATGCTCGGGTGGTGGAACCCCAGCGGAATGGCACCGAAGCAGTGATCGCCCCTGGGAAAGCCGCACAAAGCCGCGTTTGGCCGAGTGCCGCACCCAGCTCCGGCGAGCTCGGTCTCTGACGGAGGGGCAACGGTCAGCACCGGCCTGCGACACTCAAAATCCATGAGCTTCTTTCCGTAATGATTTGAGGCACGAGACCGGTCATTTTCCTGCTTGGCTGCTGTGGTTAGTAAGTAGAAAACCAAGCGGTTTGAATTGATCAGTCCAAGGCCGCCGTGTCCCGGCTTGCTGTTCCCCCACGTCTCCTATATCCAACCAACATTCCAATCGAAACATACACAACACCACCCATTGTTTGTCACTGGTAGTGCTGCTCCAAGTTGTGGCCAGTGTTGTCAATTGATACAGAAGCCGCCAGCTGAAAGCAGTCACAAGGTTCCCGCCGATTAATCTTTGCCAAAGTTCCCCTGTCGCCATGGCCTATCTTGACCTGACCCAGCGCGATATCAACGTGCTCGAAAAAATTAAGGACCCCGAATATGATCCGGCTCTGGCGATTCAGGTCGACTCGACTCTCCCAAAAGACCCGCACATTTCCGACCCGGCTCTGTATCAATCCATCGCGCAAAGGGAGCGTGATATCATCCTTTCCATTCAGAACGTAGAGGTCCAAAACCTCAAAGCCAACCCAGCAAGAACAGGCCCTAGCGAGGAGGTCTTGGAAGGATATCGCAAAGCAGTTGCATCTTTTGACCAGCTCATCGAGGAATACCCTCAGTATGCGAGCGCGCACAACAACAGGGCGCAAGCGCTTAGGCGGCTTTATGGCGATGCGATTCTGGTTTCCGACGCCCCCAGGCTACCACAAGCATTGCGACAGAATGTCGGTGATGCCGAGCGCGTCAGAGTAGGGAAGATTCTTCTAGGAGATCTCGACCGAGCCATCTCGCTTCTTACGCCAACCACACGATACTCCCGACTCTCTCCCCAGGTGGCCAAGACCTTATCCAATGCTCACACGCAAAGGGCCGCCATATATCTCATGACTTCCAAGCTGATGTTGACAAAATCTGTGCTTGTTGACGAGGAGCGGCCGGAGGCGAAGTGGACAAAGATCGAGTTTGAAGAGCACGCCTCTGCAGACTTTGCCCTGGGCGGGAGGTACGGCAACGAGATCGCCAAGGGGTTGGCTGTGAGCACAAATCCAACAGCTAAGCTATGCGGGCAGATGGTTCGCGAAGCTATGAAGAAGGAGTATGGGCCGGGCATTGCTCCATAGTTCGGACATGAAACGGGAGTTGGAAGTATCATTGATGATGTCAAGCGCTGATATCCGAATGTCTTTCTATCGGTCTGCATAGGGTAACTGGCGTTGGTGGTTCATTCGTTGGGCGAAGGTTAGCTAAGGTAGCTAGCTATATATGGTATGTAGATAGGCGATACATTTTTACGAGTTCTTTGGGAAGCCAAGGCGCCTGAACAATGACATGTAAATACAAATGTTGCGCCCAGACACATGTGAATAGCCTCACCTGCGGAGTGTCTCCAGAGTCTGCTGTGTAGACCTCCCCTTCTCCTTCTCCTCACGGTTGATCCTCGTGGCAGCTGCAGAGAGACCAATGAATACGGCGAAAATGGGGTCCGCGACGCGGGAGATGATGTATCTTGGGGGAGACATGGTTGTGGTTATTCTTGCTGGACAATATCTTGGAGGGGTTGAACTTTGCAAGATTGAACTTCAAAGTCGCAGTTGTCTTGTTTGCGCTCTCGAGCTGCCCCACCTTTTGCAGCTGGGGGCTTGGCACGCCGAGCCAAGAGTGAAGCAAGGAACCTGGCGCACTGGCCATTCCTTAGTCATCAATTTTTTTAACGGGCCAATCCGCCTTGCCCGCTCGAATTTTGGCAGCCCACAAACTGAAATTATTTCGGGTGCTTTCTCAAGAACGGTTCTGTCTCTCACTCTCCGTGCCCGCAGTCGACCTCCAGGGAAAGGCAACAACAGGTATGTCACGCCCCCCCTCTTTTGCTGCCATTTCGAAAAAATTGTCTCCACGACTTTTTCCCTTCCCCAGTAACTAACCTACTTCTTCGACAACAGAACCGACAAAATGAAGTTCTTGAAGACCTCGAGAGTGTGCCTTGTCACCAGGGGCCGCTATGCCGGCAAGAAGGTACGACGATTTTCACCGAACCCATCTTCCTCACCCCCCAATCGCCAGTCATCGAGTGTCCGAGTAGCAAAACATCGAATGGGAAATGGGAATTCAATGGTTGGATGACTGAGAGGAGTGAATCGGGAATCGGAGCGGACATTTGCGAGGACGGCGACCGTGGGGAGAGGGAGAACTACAGAAAGGAAACAGATTGCGCAAGGACAACAAGAGTACTGACTGGGCGATTTCTGCAGGTTGTCATCATCCAGCCCGTTGACACCGGCTCCAAGAACCACCCCTACGGCCACGCCATCGTTGCCGGTATCGAGCGTTACCCCAGCAAGATCACCCGCCGCATGTCCAAGACCAGACAGGAGAAGCGGTCGAAGGTCAAGCCCTTCATCAAGGTCATCAACTACAACCACTTGATGCCCACCCGCTACACTCTCGAGCTCGAGGGTCTCAAGAACGCCATCTCCGCCGATACCTTCAAGGAGGTCTCCCAGCGTGAGGACGCCAAGAAGAACGTCAAGAAGGTCCTTGAGGAGCGCTACACCAGCGGCAAGAACAGATGGTTCTTCACTCCTCTCAGTATGTTTTCCTCGGTCTCCTTGGGCTTTGGGAGCAACAGTCTTGACTAACCAACCACCAACAGAGTTCTAAATCGTCTTTTTTTCCTGAATCGGCTGGGCGGGGCGAACGGGTTTTTGGGGCTGTATTCAGCATTTACGGAATAAAAATCTGATGGCTCTTCAGCTGAGAATTTGACGGCATGAACGAACCACACGTGTGTTCCGGGCGTTCTTTGTCGCGTCGCGTTTAAATCCCTTGGTCCAAAAGATGCATGATATCCACAACCGGTACGCAAATGAATGATGACCGGGGCCCGGAGAGGTAGAACCACGGGCTGGGTCCGATAGAGGGGGGAAATGCCCGCGGGAAGGTTGCGTGGTCCGTCAGTGACTTGAAGGTCCTGGACATGAAATGGGCACGCTTACCTTGGACGATGAATCGAGCTTGTTGAGAATGCCTGCTGGTCCCTTCCGTTGTGACTTTGAGCCTTGCTTGCGCCACGCCGCTGAGCTTTTCGAATGACGAGCCATAGTCTTTCCAACTGTCATCTGCCTCGTGCTGTTATGGGTGAACTCTTGTAGCTACCTAAGCACGCTGTTGACAAAATAACTGGCACTGCCAAAGGGCTGAACCGTGGCTCGAAGGATAATTAATAGGCCTTGGGAGATAGTCAAAGGCCTGCTTCCTATTTAAAGGGTATAAGTTGATGTTATTATACCTATTACTGACTTGTAGTATCAATTATTGTATGTTATTGTATCCACGACCTGCTAGGGTATCTGCACTACAAGCCGGAAATGAGTTCCAGTCAAGCCTTCACGTGTTCATTATTCATACACAGAATCTCGGTATCACTCTTTGATGTCCAACGCAAAGAGTTATAGATTAACATGACGGACCGCAGGTTAGGAAGAAGAGGAGACATTCCAAGAACTTGTGTCCTAGTTAACATCACTCGGCAAAATATTTCCTGAAAAATTGCTGTCATGATGAAATGGGAACAGTAAACAAGACGAGTTATATATCATAGGTAGTCCGACATAACCAGACACACACACACACAAAAATCAGAATTGAGAAAAAGTTATAACCTCCTCAAAACCACAGGTCAATACCAACAGAGAAGAGAGACAGAGAAGAGAGAGAGAGAGAGAGAGAGAGAGAGAGAGAGAGAGAAACCAGAATAACATTCAAACAAACATGCAAAACTCCCCCTCCCCCAAAAAATCCATCCCTTGAGAAAAACCCCCTTACCAACTCCATCCCATGTAATCAAAGCCGTTCTCTGTATGCGTTGTCCTGTTATGCTACCTATCACCCTACCACAGATGCAAAGCCCTCTCACACCTAGCAGGTGAACCGAACCTCCCATGCATTTCCAACCCTTGTAGTATAGTAACCACAACCTCACCGGTGCCCAAGCAGCACAATCTCATTCTCGTCATCGTCGTCTTCTTCTTCCTCCTCTTCCTCAGAGCTCAAATCATCACACGACGAGCTATCCTCCTCCTCTTCGTTAACAGCAGCACCCCCCGGGCTTCCAAGCGAAGTGAACGCCGTCCCCGCATTAGGTATCCTATCCAACTCCCTATCCCGTCCCCAAAACAAATCCAGAAACGTATCCTCGTCCTCGTCATCATCGTCGTCGTCCGCTTCACCGTCTCGGACCTGCACAAAATCAATGAGTTCCTCTGGCGTTAGTTGGCGGTGGTGCTGATGCTGGTGCTGTGGTTGTTGGGGCTGGACTGAAGGGGCGGGTAGCAAGCCAGCAACAACAAGGTCATGTTCAGTCAGGGGCGTATTATTAGATGCGGCAATGGTGGCGGCGGGAGGGGAGACGTCAATACCATTTCCCAGGCTATCCGGCAGCCCTCCCAACCTCTGAGCTCTCGCCTCTTGTTCCCGACGTGCTCGCTCGATAACCTCGTACGCAGGGAGAGGGGTGGAGGATCTGCTTGGCAAGCTGAGACTAAAAATAGGGGGTTCTTCTTGCCCTGGCGGCTGGGAGCCTGCCGCCAGGGGTCCAGCGTTGCTCGCGGGCAGGGCGGTAAAAGTAACAGCTTCGCGCTCATGTCCAGGATTGAGTGTGGCCGGTTCTGTGAGCTGCCGCTGCTCCTGACGCTGCGATGCCTCCTCTTGGAGTTGTTCTAGTCGTCGCTCCATTTGCTGCGTCGGCAGCTCTTGGTTGGTACCATTAGGCATGTTGAGGAGTTGCCTTTGAATAGTGTTGTAAGAGTTGCAAAGAGAGCACTTCAGCCCGAGCCAGTGGTAAGTAGTCTGGCTTTTGGCGCTACAGTCGTTGCAAGAGATGATGGCACGGGCGTCGATATATTCTGGCGGCATGGGCTGCGCGAGAATGGCAACGTCAAAGTTCCGGAACTGAGTCTCCATGTTGACGCAGCTCTTACTGCAGATGGGGCATCGATAAGAGGTCTCCATGTGCATCTCGAAGCAGCGTTTGTGGATACTGTGACCGCACTGCATGAATACGACAGTCTTCATCGAGTTGAAGAGGTAATCTCCGCAAATGGGGCAGTCGCAGTCTATGGACCGCTCGATGCACTTGTGTTCGCCAGTCATGGAGATGCAAGCCATACATTTCTACGGGAATGTCAGCGTACCGAGGTACTAGAGAATAATGGTGCATGTCATCGAGATGCTCACCTTGCAGTGGAAAAAGTCCTTCCCCAACCCTTGCCCGACTCTGCAGAGCCCGCAGTCTGAACAATGGTAGATGGGCTTGTTAGGGTCGTCATTCCAAAGCTTACAGATGCCACAGTAATAGTTGGCCGCAGACTCCCCACACCTTGCGCACGTATCCGAAGCCTTTTGGGCGCAGCCACAAAGCATACACAGCATGTGTTTGGTTTGCTGGCGGGGCAAGACATGGTCCTCGACGGCATCGTGACACATTCGGCATGTGTACCAGCGCTCGCAGGTGGCGCATTGTAGCTTGACGTTCCTCCGATAGTGATCGCAGCCCAGGTGTCGCTTTTCTTGCGGACCATCGGATGCCGGACTCTCGACCTCGCCATCCTGATCCATCATAACTGCAGGGGCATACGTCGGCTTCAGGTCCTCCGCAGTCAGGGGCAACTCCAGTGGCGCAGATTCGGTGCTGAGTGGGTTCCAAGCTTTCAATGCCTGCAACGCCCCGAAAGACTCTGGTGATGCGTTTTGGTCCGGTACTATTGCCCGACCCATTAGGGATTCGGGTCGAATTGTTGATTTCAGTAATCCGTTCTTTTGTTGAGCCAGTGTGTACTTCTCCGTCAACAATTGGTGGACCAGTTGCGCTTTGAGGTTTTGGGCAATATCCATCTCCTGTATGCTCCGAATCTTTTTCCGTAGTTTCCCCATGCCGTCGTCTTCAGGCAAAGGGTTTCTTCGCATTATGTTTGCCTGGCGTGGTCCATCTGCTGCGTCAGAGGCCGTCCTCGGAGGGGCGGACGGGGCGGGAGAACTTGGTTGTCGGGCCGATAATGTGTTTGGAACGACGGTAACTTCTGGGGTATTCCGTAGCATCCCTTCCGCCTGACTTGGTGACGATGATACAGCATTGGTGGTTGGGGTCGGGAGCGAGGTAGGTGGCGGTGGGGTCGACTCCGGTGCTGGTGCTGGTGCCGGCGCTATCGCTGGCACAGGGCTCGAGGAAGTCTCCCCCGCATTTCTCTCTACCATCACCACGTCCTGGTCGTCCTCCATTATGGCATTCTCTGGAACAGAGGTCGATTCTTCCACCGACCTCTGTCGGTTGTGTCGCGATGCTGGTCGTTCCTCGGTGGCGAAACTCGAAGAGAAGCGGCGGGCTTGTCGCAGAACAGGCGTGATGATGAATTCAGAGACCAAAGAGGTCATCGCAGGACAGCGGCAGCGTAGGGCAAGTTTTCACCTTGCTGAGACGGTTATGAGAGTAGGGTTGGTGGGCTGGTAAGGTATACCGGAGAAATTAGGGCTTTAGGTTGAAAGAAGGAAATTTGGGTTGTGTAAAGAGACGGCATGTGGTTTTGTGGAAGCATTGAGCGCCATGTCGTCAACGGGCGGGCTCGATCTCCAGCGGCCAGGTCTAGGATGCTGTGCCAGTGGGCCTAACGGCCCCCCGGTAATTACCGCCTTTTCACACACTTCGTATTCAATACTACCTGACCACCAGGACCTTCGCCTCCGTTTTTACCATGTGAAAGTGAGCGGCTATGGAATTGTCCTGTCTATGCTTGACACGTGAAATCATTGAGAATGGGTGTTTTTGAATCAAACAAAAATGAGGCCTTGGTTTGGAAGCAGCAATCCAGAAAGCACTGCTGTATCGCCTTTGAAATTCAGTGGTACAGTGCCAACACCGAGCACCAAGTGCCAGGTCGGGTGCGGTAACAGCTCAACAGCGTCTTTGTCGCAAGAAATACCGGTCGCCGTTTGTTTCAACGGTGTACCGACTTCGCCGTCCAAATCTAAGGGTCTCCAAAACGTTCTCGAGGGGGGAAACCTCCAAACCCCCGGCCTCGATGCGATTGCAAACCCAGCATTTGATATCGACCCCTGGTCAGGCGGTTGTGTGGGTCTCGACCCGGGAATGTGGTAGCTAAGCCCCGGGACGGTCTTGGCTCCCGGTCAAACCGTCGACAGCACGAACAGCCGTTCCTGACTCTTACTTTCGTTGGCACGAGGTTGATACATATCTATTGTTGTTAATTACGAGTCATACATGGATATTATACAGTACACTAGCACCTTTTGGTTAAACCTCTTCGAGTTGGAACTCTGCGCGAACGCCCAAATGATCCGTCACCCAGGCTTTCGCCAGACCCCAAGAGCGCTTTAACTTCTGCCGATCTGCCTCATCTTCGACTTCAACATCCAGCCCGAAAGTGCCGTAATCAAGCAACCCTGCCTTTCCGCAAAAGAGCACCTTGTCCATTCTGGACGTTCCATACCGCTGTCTGTCATTGCTGCGGCCCATCAATCCCCATGTCGCCCCAGCCTCGTCTCCTTGTTTGCCGCCAGTCTCGAGATACGCATCCTTGAGCCTGTTTTCCTTGTGGAGGGTCCAGTCGAAGCGCTCGATGGCGTTGAGGTCTCCCGCGAGAATGCCAACATGTGCCTGGTGCAAGAACCTGGCCGCCGTAGCAAGCTGCGCTGGCCGCTTCGGTGGCCGGGCCACCAGGGATTCCAGGTGGGTGCTGCATACACGAAGGACTTTGTCTCGTGGGATGGCAATGTCGACAAAGAGGGCATCACGCTGCATCGACGAGTTGGGGTAGTAGACACGGAACACGGCCTTGATGGGGAGCACCTTCGGCACAAGAATGCATGTTCCTGCATCGGTCGTCAGCATGCAAGACTTCCTTTCGCTGGCTTGTCTCACCGAAAGAACCCACCATAGCCAAATCCGGGAGGAAAGTCGTGGAAGTCCCAGTTCTCTCCAGTCAGGTCGGTCACATTGTAGTTTTCCCTAACCCACTCGTCGTCCGCTATCACATCCAGGTCAGATGCAACCATCTCGTTGAACATGACGATGCACGGAGTCCCGTCTTGAGAAGCCACTAATGATCGGACATGGTTGAGAGCAGCCCTCATGCGAGCCACGGGCACGTCCAACTTGAAGTCGATATTCCAGGACCATACAGAAAAGCGTGTGGGTGTGTTGGAACCATCCACGACATTTTTGGTTGGGCTGGCGAAGCTCCTCCAGTGGCCATTGACAAAGGCCGAATAGCCCTGGTGTCGGGGCGCTGGTTCAGATTTCCAGCCTTGGAGTGGGTTGAACATGGTCTTGTTATGTCCAGTGACGACGATGCGGGACGCTTGGCGTCTCTGGCGATGATACTGCGGGGGAGTGTGAGTGTTCGTGTTGGTATATATGTTTCGCGGGAACGGAGGCCACAGGCAACCAACAACAGTCTTGCACCGGAGGTGGCTTTCTCCACGACATCCGATCAGGACGGAGCAGGGACGGGTCCATCTCGGCGACACTTTAAGAGACAGCATCACTCTCCCGGCTTTTGGTATCAAGGGTCCTGTCAATCAATTGGTGCGTCCGACGAACCCGGGATCCGAGGTGGGAGCGGCAGTTGTTGAGAAGTGTGTGCCCCCACTCAGCCACAACAGGCACGACAGCACACAAATTGTTAGTGCAACGACACACATTTTGAAGCCTGTTGCCTGATTGCTGAAGGGCTTCGCGTGCTGAAACTTGGCAGATGTCTATTTCTTATCAAAAGTTCTCATCGATAGGTTTTTGTGAAGATAACGACTCATTGGCGTCGACCCAAGTGCGGGCTTGAGGAACATCTTGCTAACACTTACATGTTGTAGGGATTCAGCGACGATAGGGCCGTGCCGCCCCTAAGGTTCTTGGGTGGGATGAAGAACGCCACTTACACACGTAGACGGCAGTCCAACAGAGCCTCACTAGCACATCGCCGTCCTCTCTCACCTTCCTAATCGTCTGGTATAGCAACATATGCCTTTTTGGATTTATGATACAATGTCTCTTCCTTTTCTCCCCGTCCCGCGCGTCCAATGCTTTGCCTCTGCTTGTACACCATCATGCCGCGTCATACTATACAATGTTCAGTCGCTGGTCAGCCTCCGACTATTCCGAAGATCGGCGTCGACAGATACCTCAAACGTTGTGAAGCATACACGACTCCGGGAGGAAAAGAACATCGCATCAACCCATCGGGGTCTGCCGTTGTTCCACAGATGGCGATAGCCTCCCCCGCAAGCTGGACCCTCACCTATCGGTCGACCACAGCACTACATCTGGCTCTCAGCCCCTTCTGGCAATGAAACGCGCTGGCTGACATGCATATAGATGCCGTGTGATTGATAATGCGATAATCGCGCGCCTTGAGGTTTTACCTGCTCATAGTCGGAGACGGACGATCTTCTCCCTTTCCGGTCATAATTGGTCTTTCCATGTGCTGTCAAAGGTATGAACTCAAAGTTCTGACAGCTAGAAGCTTGTCTTGCTTCATATGATCTACTGCCAAAAAAGGTTTGCACCTGCGGTCCGCGTGTGTTTTACAAAAGTGAGGTTCTCACAGCCTGCTCAGGTCTGGTGCCTCGCACAAGACAGAAATCTACCAGTGGCTGCATAACCGTTATGTCATGTAGGGACCCTAAGCCCCGACAAATAGTCTCACATTCGGGACAATAGCCGGTAATGCCGGGTTTTACCTGCTACCTGCACATACTTGCAAACCTGAAGCAGTTTTCTTATGTCCATCGGGGCCGGAGCCGTTGTCTTGGCCAGAACATTCCGTCCCCGTGCCTGCCCAGCGCCATTGTTGGTTCTCCTTTTCGAGCCCCTTTTTCGGTGTCCATTGGAATGTTGCGAGTGTCGTCACCGAGGGAGTCAGCATTTACTGTGGGGAATCATGTATCTTGATAGTGTCTTACATGGCGGTATAGTAGGACAGGTTGGGGGATATAAGGACAGCTCTGATGCCATGCTGCCATCGATCGACTCAGGCTAGCGTCTTCGTGGACAGCAAGCATATTTCTCTCTTTTGAACCTCATCGTTTATCATCATCGGTGAAGCCTTCAACATGTCCGTCACCGTCACCGAAGAACCGGCGACGATGCTGGCCTGGGAGAAGAACCCACTGGCGCTTCCATTGCCCAAGGTTGAGAAGCCTGCTGAGACGCTATGGCAACGGATCAAGTGGGAAAGCATGATTGTTCTCACTGTCTCCCCGATAATAGGTCTATACGGGCTTCTCTTTGTGCCCTTGCAGACCAAGACATTGTGGTGGTCAGTCTTCCTGTACTGGTTCAGCATCATCGGTAAGTAGACCCTGAAAACCGCCCACCTCGGATATCCAAACTTAACATCCAACTTTTTCTCTCACAGGCTCAACCGCCGGCTCCCACAGACTCTACTCCCACCGCTCCTTCAAAGCCTCCACCCCCCTCCAGATTTTCCTCCTCATCGGCGGCACCTGCGGCGTCCAAGGCTCGGCCTTCTGGTGGGCTCGCGAGCATCGCGCCCACCACCGCTACACCGACTCGGACCTCGACCCCCACTCCGGAAAAGAAGGCTTCTGGTGGACGCACGCCGGCTGGATCCTCTTCAGGCGAGACATCCAAGCCGGCCCCACAGACGTCTCCGACCTCAAGAAGAACAAGCTCGTCATGTTCCAACACCGTCACTACTTCAAGCTCTTCCCCTTCCTGGCCTACGTCATGCCAGCGGCAGTAGCAGGATACTTCTGGGGTGACTGGGCAGGCGGCATCTGCTACGCGGCCATGCTCAGGCTGACGATCGTCCAGCACAGCATCATGTGCATCAACTCCCTTGCCCACACCTTTGGCGACGCCCCATTTGACGACAAGCACACTCCCCGCAACCACTTTTTTACGGCCATCGTCACTGCCGGGGAGGGGTACCACAACTTCCACCACCAGTTCCCTGTTGACTACCGCAATGGGATCAAGTGGTATCAGTACGACCCGACAAAATGGTTCATCTACCTCAGCTCCCGGCTTGGGTTGTCGACGCAGCTGCAGACTTTTCCCCAAAACGAAATCAGCAAGGGGGAGCTGACCATGACGCTGAGAAGACTGAAGGAGAAGCAGGAGGATATCAAATGGCCGGCTAGGCCGGACAAGCTCCCGCTTGTGAGCTGGGAGACGTTTCAGAGGGAGGCGAAGAAGAATTCGCTGATTTTGATCAATGGGTACATCCATGACGCGAGCGAATTTGAGAATAAACACCCTGGCGGAAAGGCGATTATTAGGGCGAGGGTGGGGAAGGATGCGACAGCTGCGTTTGGAGGGGGGGTTTATGAGCATAGCAATGCTGCGCATAATGTGAGTCACTATCTGATATTGTTTGTTGATGATGTGGGAATGGGGGCTAACATAATGTGTAGTTGCTCGCGATGATGAGAGTTGCTGTGCTCGAGGGGGGTGTTGAGCATGTCAAGTATGTGACGCCGGCGGAGAGGTTGAGAATTATTGAGCATTATAAGGAGGAGGAAAGCCATTAAAGATTTGGAGCATTGAAAGAAGCCACAACGGGGGTTGAGCAGAGACCTCAGCGGACTTGGAAGTTGCGGACAGTTTCTCAGTCATAGACTAGACCTCGAGATACATTTACATTAGACAGGATGATCATCGATAGATAGAGGCGATGTGTTACGATAGGTGGCTAGCAGAGTGGAATGGATTCGATTGTGATGTATCTAGACGAGATATGAGACCAATGACAGAACATATCACATACTGTTGACTTTCCTCACTCTCATCATTTGCGGTGTCATCCATTGACTGTTGATTGTAAACTGGATGGAGGGTTTGGTGGTGGGTGGGTGATGGCTTCAAGCTTCCTCACTCTCAACAAGCCCGGACAGCTCTTATGGACCACGATCCATTCTGCAACCCTTCAAAACCACTGCAAAAAACACACAACGTATCTCCTGACTGTAGAGAGTTAATTGAGAGGTGAGAACAGTCCCAAAACAAAAAGCAAAAAAGTTGCAAAAAATCGGAGTCGACATCCCCACCTCTCCGCTCCATCTCACATTCCCCCCACGATCGTGATCCAGCCTGCCATCGGACGGTGAAGATGCCTCTGCAGAGTGAAGCCTCCCTCAAGTATCATCTTCATTGCTTAGGGCCACGGCGCAGCATCGCAGGTTACCCGTGCGAGTGGGTGGCCACCGCAAGATTCACGCTGGGCGCCACGGGGGAAGTTCTCATGGATATGAGACTGGAGTCGGGAGAAGATTTTCAGGCGTCTCCTTAACCAATATGACCATTACAGCCGATAGTTTGCACATTTGACCTAATATATAAACCACTGGTTGGGCGCGGGTGCAAGTGGGCCTGCAGCTTTGGGTGCGCATAAGGCCAGGGTTAGGGGCAGTATCGGTGCGGATAGTGCGATAAGCATCACGGATGCAGCTAGTGGACTTGGGCGCGCTGAGCTCCAAGTAGTAGCATCCATAGAGGTACATTGGCCACACCATCTGGCGAAGGCGACTGAGGAGGATACAGCGAAAGACATGGCCCAAGAAAGGACGGAGAGGTGACAGCGACATTCTGTCGTTCATACAACAATCATCACAAAGAAACCGAGGCGTTGCCCACTACGCGCCAGCACTTGGCGCATCGCACCATTCCCAGGTCCAGTACGGCATTGAGGGCATCACCAGCAACATGTTGACAACAAGCCCCCACCTCTACCTCCGCCGCCCCTCCCCAACAACCGCCGAATTCACAGTCACCACCTGCCCACCCCTGACCCTCCCCCTCCGCCTCTACCTCCTCGCCATCTCCCTCCTCCGCGTCGCCATCTTCACCGCAGCCACGACGACAATCTACTCCCGCTTCTTCCACGATCCCTCCCGTCCCCCACCACCAATCCCAATATCGTTGCTTGACCTCCTCTACCAAGGCGACATCCTCCTCCTTGCCTCCCACCTCCTCCAAACCCTCCACTCCTCGCCACCGGGCCAATTCCTCGCCTCCATCACCGCCCCCCTCTCCAACTCTGCCCTGGCAGTCATCGCCTCGGTGATCACCTACTTCACCCTCTGCACCCAGCTTCACACCACCGAGTCCCTTCTTGTTCTCCGGGGGCTGGGCATCCAGACTTCGACCAGTTCGTCATCGTTTAGTAGCCCGATTCCAAACACGTCGGATGGGAGTAATAGGTGGAGGGGGTGGAAGTGGTGGTTTTGGGGGACGACGCCAACAAAGACAAGGTTTATTCCTACGGAAAAGATACGGGATGTGTTGATCAATGAGGCGTTTAGGGGGTTTGAGGTTAGGTATTATCTTATTGTTATTGTCGAGGGGGAGGAGGATGTTGTTGTTGTTTTTCCTAAGCTGTTGCCAGGGAGGAAGATTGTCGAGGAGGTATGGAGGGGGGTGAGGGGGTGTTTGTATGAGGGTGATCCGAATCATCAGAGTTTAGGGGGAAGTTGGGGGCAGACGGCGACGTTGGGGAGGAAGGATAGTTGATAAGACACAGTGATAATTGGATAGCGAAGCAAGCGAGAATGGAACTTTTTGATTGTTTATTTTTTTTTTACTTGAGATTTTACACTGACTTCTCACCACCAGCCGCCGCCGCCTTGTCAGCGGCTTTGTTGGCTTTGATCACCGACCTCCAGTTCTTGGTATTCGCCATATCCTCCGAGTCCTTGAACCCCTTCGACTGCGCCCACTTGTGGTTAATCTCCACCGGCGTCGGCATCAACTCCTTCTTCATCACGGGCACATACACCCCCGACGACCTCGTCATATTCCCCCCCTTATACACCCTCTGCAAATTTTCTTTTCCGTTCTTCTTCGGCGCCGGCTCCTCCTTCCCCAACTTCCTCGTCAAATCCGCCCTCGTCGCCACCTGCTGCAGCAACAACCCACTCAACAGCTCATCCATCTTCCTTTCATGCCAATACTCCCACAACTGATCCACCAACCCGTTACTCCCCATCAAATTCCCCGGCTGGTCCTCCCCAAGCCAAACCCAGTCCACCCCATCATCCTCGAACTTGATCTCCCCTTTGAAACCAGGATCATGCATAAAAGCCCTCTCATCCTCACCCCGACTCAACACCTTCCTCTCTCCCTCACCCGTGACAATCTCTGGCCTTTTGGGAAACACACAATCCCACAACACCAACGGCACCTCCTCGGCCATGATATACCCCGGCTTCCTCCCATTCCTCTCCACATCCAACAGCTCCCTCACAACCTCCGGCCTTTCCAACCCCTGCCCAACATTAAAAACAATCGCAACCATATGCCTAATCTGATGCCACAAAAACGCCGACCCCCTCACATGGAAATAGTAAACCTTCCCCTTCTTCTCTCCCCCCCAAAAATTCACCACCCCCAAATCCTGCCCCTCGACCTCCTCAATATCACACTCAAAAATCCTCCTCTGAAAGCTGGTTATCTGCTTCCCGCCATCAACCTTGCAAAAATTCCTAAAATCGTGCAACCCCTCAAAGTACTTTGCCGCTTTTTTCATAGCCGCAATGTCAAGCCACCCTGACTTCTCCCCTGGAGCAAGAAGAGTAGGTGCCATGGAGGGGTTGGTAAAGAAATATCTATACTGCCTCTCGTAACAACTAAACCTGGCCGAGAACCCCTCCGGCAGCGTCGGCGCCCAGGCGAGAACCTTGATGTCAGGAGGCAAAAGACGGTTGAGGACCTTGGGGTAGTTGATTTCATCCACAATATCCTCCCACTCTTTTTGGGGGTTTTGCTGTTGCTTCTTTCCTGGCAGCTGGGGGGTGTTGTTTTGCTCTGGTGTCCCCTCCATCACTACATCTTCCTCCGCTGGTTGTTCCGATTTAGATGGGGGTCTATTTGACCTCACCCGAATGGAAATCACCTGCCCAAATGCACTCACCCCCCTGTCCGTCCGTCCACATTTGCTGTACTCGAACGGCGCAAAGTCGATTTTGGACGGGTCGGCCGGGGTGATGAGACAGCCTTTGACAAGCGCTTTCCAGAGCTCTTCCTCGATGGAGGGGACGTTGCTGTAGCCCGAGTGCTCGAAGCCGCCGTAGTTTTTCCCCAGGTAGGAGAGCTTGAGGGCGATGAGGCGGGTGCTGTAGCGGGAGGGGTCGATGCCGGTGGACTTTTTCTTTTGTTTCTTTTTGGGGGGTTCGCCTTCTTCTGTTGTTATTGTTGGAGTTGCTGCTGCTGGGGCCTGGAGTACTGGTGTGGGTTGTTGTAGTGGTTGGGACTGAGTCTTAAGCTGAGCTTCCAGTTCCTTCACTCGCTCCAGGAGCCGTTCTTTGGTCCAGTCTTGGTAGTCCATTGTCTTTTTGGCTTCAATATTTTGATTCGATGGGGATTGTGGTGAGTTCAGTAAGTGAGTCGTAATGTGAGATGAAAAAGGACGAGTGGCGGTTGTGATACCAAAAGTCACCGCTCGCTTGTGCGCCTGCGCTGGTCCTTGAATAGTCCTCCGCAAGGCCTGGAAAGAGTTCATAGGCTCATAAAACGAGGCTCAACTGTGACTCTTCTCTCACTTAAACGACGACCTTATGCAGGGCTCAAATGTTCAGATCCCCCATGGCCCAATGAGTTGACCCCTCTAACAATATTGTGGGCCTATGCTTGGCATGACTTATCGATAAAGCCCCGATTGATAACCAGTTGATAACGTTCAGCAACCCCCAAACACCTGTGGCGCGCTATATGACCTTTGGGAACCGCTTCAATCATCTCAGCTGGTCTCATCATGTCACTCACATACAATGGAAGAACAAATCATCACCATCCTTCTGCTGGGAGATGAGAAATGCGGCAAAACTACATTTTTATCGTCTGTACTCTATCTTTGCCTACAATAACTGTCCTGGTATCCAGCTGCTGACACTTCCAATAGACGGATCAGCCAGGGCCGTCCAAATCTCCAAGGCAATGTTCCAATCACCATACTGAGGGATATAGACCAACCCTTTGTGTTTGATATCCGCTCCCGAAAAAGACAGTACCGCTTCGAGTTCTTCGATACATCCAGCCCTGAAAGCTGGAAACTGCTCCGACCAGACCTCGTAATCATCTGCTATGACATCAGCCAGCGGTTGAGCCTCATCAACCTCCAGCGAGTCGTAGGTCCACCGCCCAATCCACTGGCTCTGATATTATCGTTTCTGACAAGTTGTTGTGCAGTGGGTAAAGGAGGTGCGGGCGACATTCAACCATGATCGTCTGCCGATGCTCGTGTTGGGTTTAAAGAGGGACTTGCGCTCCGAGGATGATCCAAATGGAATCATATATCCGCAAGAAGCATATGCTCGCGCCCAAGAAATGCGCGCAGACAAATACATGGAATGTTCTGCTGTAACAGGCGAGCTTCTCCCCGAGGTATTTGACGACATATGTAGCACAGCTCTCAAGTCGACGTCGGAGGAGGGCGGACAGAGCGAAGGGGGGTGCGCCATCATGTAACAATCCTCAAACACACTGGCGCGACACAGTGCGTGCCGTTCGTCGAAATCTATGCGCCGTTGGCAGTCTCAACAGACTGAACTGCGTCTCCATCCTCAGCGCCTTCCTCGCCTTCTTCTTCTTCAGGCTCGGGGTCATCTTGTCCAAGGACCTCGATAACGAGATCAACGAGTTGCTGCTGCTCCTCTTCGGTGTACCGGTCCTCGAGCGACTCGACAATTATAGCCAAAACTGGGATATTGGTAGGTCGCACGTCGAAAATGGCGAGACCTTCGGCCTTGGTGATGTCGGGAAACTTCTCCGCCAGCTTCTCGCAGAGCAATTCGAGGGTGGCTTGGCTGTAGTGCTGTTTCTCCTTTTGGTCGTGCAGCGGGTATGGCTTCGTCTCCAAATACTCGAGGACCTAGAACTAAGTGTCAGTCACTGTGACTAATGTCCAGGGTAACAATTAGCCAAGACTAAGAAAAACTCACCTCCTTGCTGAGCCGGAAGGCATCTTCGGGCATCCGTCTCTTAGGCTGGCTACTGTTGTTCCTCTTGCGTATATCGGTGAGGTGCTGGTACACCTCGTAGTTGGTGAGCACGGCCGACTGGGCCTCTAGGATCTTCATGGCGGCTTTCTGTTGAGCTTGCGATGGCTTGAATGAAAGGAAGCCGACGACAAGGAGATGGATGTTGCAATCGGATAGATGTTGCGGTGGACGATATTCCTAGCTCCGGTGTTCACGGTACCGATGCAGGGATCTTGAAGCACACTACCCGGATGAAGTCGAGGCTGTCAAGTCAACCAAGCAAGGACAAGCAAATTATGATCAAGGTTGGTTACGACCGACAGGAGCAGCTGTCTATCAAAGTCTCATTCACTTTCTACCCCGCAAGAGCATTGATGCAGAAAACAGTCTGGCCGGTGACGACCGCTGCATAGAGGTATCAGAATCTCACAGAAAAAAAGTTTGAAATGGTGAGGCTGCCATGAGAAGGCTCTCACCCAAGCAGCACATGTTTCTGCCACAGTGTGAGAACTTGCCCCTCCATGCAAGCCAGTGCTGCAGTGCACGTCCCCATTGAAGGCTTCTGTCCAATCAGCGTACGGCTAAACCTGCAGCTTTTTGAAGAGGAAAAAAAATATCGCATCATTCCTGACCGGCACGACCCCAGCAGGGCCGGCGGGCAGGTACCTGGTACCTCATCCGACCGAAGGCGACGTCAATGGATGAGGCGAGAACCTTGAATCACTCACACAGCCGCGAAGCCGCAAAAACTTTTCAGTGTTTGATTTCCTAGCCTCTAGCCTGCCTGCCCCGCGGTGAAAGCCAGTTCCAGGTCCCACTCAAAGCCCACCCTGCTGCTACTGTTTCTCTTCCAACGACAATTCTCACCTGCATCCATCCATCTGGCCCCCCATTTACACGCCTCGCCATGACTCCCCTGTGATGACCTCCCGTCTTCCTCTCTTCTCTTCTTCTTTTCTGTCACCTCTTCCTGTCTGCAGTAGACTCTCTCCGCTCTTGGTGGCACTCTATTCACTGTAGGCTTCCTTTCAGCGAGCCTAACCCGCCTACCCTCGGCATTCTTTGTTGAACAAGCCCCCAGATCCTGGCATCAAAACTTCTTCGGGCAACACGAGGACCCTTGAAGGCTTTGGAGAGTTTGACCCTTCAGAAGCTTATCATTTGCCGGTCCTCTGCCAGCATAACCACATCTGCAAAAGACTTTTACACCGCCCATTGTCTTCTGCTTCTCTCCGGCAGCGATCAGTCGTCATCATCGACTTGCACCTGCAGCTGCCGAAAAACTTCGCTTCCCTGCCGGTCATCGGATCCGTTCGGTTGTCGAGCTTTTGGTCTTGTACCTCCCGCCGCTAAACCGCTTTCTTGGCCCCTCCCACATCTCGCCAACTCCCAACTTTTCGTTGTCGGCCGTCTCCCGACACCGGTCACTCGTCGGCGATTTCGTCGGATCACGCCGCTCCCCTTATACAAGCCAATTGAGCCGTCATCATGGTCCGCAACATCGTGGTTCTCGGCGGAAACTCGCACCCGGCCCTGGTCGACAGCGTCTGTAATGCGCTCAGCTTGCCACCATGCAACCGCATCCTGACCAAGTTCTCTTCGGGAGAAAGCCGCTGCGAGATCCAGGACTCGGTTCGAGGCAAGGATGTGTACATCATTCAGACGGGCTTCGGGGGCAACGGCAGCAGGCTCAATGATCATTTCATGGATCTGTGCATCATGATCTCTGCCTGCAAGACAGGTTCGGCGCGTAGGGTCACGGCTGTCCTGCCCTTGTTTCCCTACTCGAGACAGCCAGATCTCCCATACAACAAGGCCGGTGCGCCTCTGTTCAAGGCTGGGTCGGAGAGCGGAAAGAAGGACTATACCTTCGACAGTGTCCCCGCTACGCCAGCCCCCGGTATTCCAAAGACTGCCGGTCTCACCAATGGCACTGATATCACGAGCAAACTGCTCAAGACCTCCTTGACCAACGGGAACGGTGTCCAGTCCCCCATCAAACAAAACGGCGATGGCTATTTCCCTGCGAATGGAGTCAACGGCACCACCACCCCAAGCCCCGTCACACGGACTGGGGCCTACACGACGCACGATTATGAGAACCTCTCGCACATCGGCGCATTCCAAGCGAAGCCTGGCTATAAGCAGTGGGTTGCGCAGGCTGGCACGTTGGTCGCGAACCTCTTGAACTGTGCTGGTGCTGATCATGGTACGCATATCTTTGATGTTTGCGTCCAGTCTTGCTACTCGACAACCAGCCCAATGGCCTGGTTGCTGAATCGACTTGATCGGTTTACTTGTTGCGATTGTGGATAACAAGCTAACCTGTCTGCCCACAGTCATCACCATGGATTTGCACGACCCTCAAGGTACGTGTAACTTGGAGGTTTACCCCTTTTCGTCGGTTGCATGCCAAGAACTGCGACTCTGTGTGAAGGCCCGGAGTTCTGGGCCACGTTTTTCTCCTCCATCCAGCCGTGTTACGTAGGGGAGGGTATTGACTTTTTGAAACAGTGCAGGGATTCTTTGACGTGCCTGTCGACAACTTGTACGGAAGGCCTCTCCTCAAGCGGTACATCCAGCAGCACATCCCCAACTACAAGGATGCCGTGATCATTTCCCCCGACGCAGGCGGCGCGAAGCGCGCAACAGCGATTGCTGACAGCATGGGCGTTGATTTCGCCCTCATCCACAAGGTATTATCCTCTTGCTGCTGCCAGGAGCGCTCCGTCCTTAACGATTCAAAACAGGAACGCCGCCCTACTAAGATCACGGACCGGCAAAACGCAAGCATGATGTTGGTGGGTGATGTGCGGGACCGCATCTGCATTCTCGTCGACGACCTTCTCGATACGGGCAACACCATTACACGCGCTGCCAAGCTCTGCAAAAAGGAGGGTGCGACCAAGATCTACGCCCTTCTGACCCACGGCGTCTTCAGCGGTGACGCTATCAACCGCGTACAGGCATCGGCCATCGACAAGGTGGTTGTGACCAACTCGGTGCCTCAGGACAAGCACAAGGCGCTTCTTGGACCCAAGCTGGATGTTCTGGATATCTCGCCCATCTTTGCCGAGGCGATCCGGCGCGTCCACCATGGTGAATCCATCAGCGTCCTGTTTAATCACGACTAAATGCATAACAATTGGGGGGTAACCAAAAAGCATCATATTACATCATGGGACTGGCGTTTTCTCTATCTGTCCATATTTTTTTCCCTTCTTTTCCTTCTCTTTATTCCCTGGACAGTATACACCAAAAAGACTATTTGCATTGGCGGCTCTCTGTAGGATGTGTCCATCGAGACCATCCGTACATGCGCGCAAAGCGACCCTCTCTGCCGTGTCCACGGGGCGGTAATACCTGGCGTTTGGGTGGAGGTGGTTGATCCGGGGATTCCGGGGTAGAAACTGGCACTCTCCTTGCAAGACCTGAAAACATAGGGCGGTTGCGTGTGTTTTTCTGATTAGAGGTCCTGAAGAAAAGGGCAGGTTTAGGGGGGTCGTGATCGTAACGACAAAGGTCGGTTTTGCTGATATTGCAATAAACAACAAAAACGAGTGGATTGGATTGTCAGTTGGGTGATCCCTGATTGCCGCTATGGGTAACCAGCAATTCAAGCTCGTCGTCCCGTCATGGGACAAAGCCAAGTAAAAATACGGTGAGGTTTGTTCCATCTATACGTAACAATCACAGGCAGTTTATAAATGAGAATTGATATATTACCTGATGTAACTCAAATTAGTGTTGGCGTTGCCACTTGCTTGCTGGCCCTCTTGACCGTGAAAGTAGGATGCGGTGAGCTTTTATACAGGCCTTTTGGTGAGATGGTGACTCGAAGTAGACCTGGAGAGATTCCTCCGTACTCGGGTCACAGAATCCAGACTTTTTGACAGGTCCTACTGCTGCAGCGAGCAAGCGTCCTCGTCTTACATTGGACAACGAGGCCATGCACCCAGCGCTGCTACTACGCACCACCAAGAGCATCAAGACCTGTTTCTCTGTGCTGGCACGATAGCGCCGGTCCTCGGACACCGCCTACTCGCGCTCACCGTAACACGATGCAAGGCACCTGAAAGATGGTGGTGCACAAGCTTAGTGCCGGCATGTCAGATGGGAAGGGGAGCATATATCGTGTGTTTGGTGGTGGAAGATTGGACGAGAAACACAAACACAGGGCGAGGGCGAATGCGAGGACGAGGTCGAAAACACAGCCCATTTTGTAACATGGAGGAATTACCGCATTTGCATGACGTGTGAAGATGGGGAAATCCGGGATGGTGAAGGGAAACGGAAGTTTTCTCATTAGTGTTTCGAAGAGGCTTGGTGGGTATCTCGGCATCGTTATCCGGGGCACATCAGATGTCGGAGCCGATCATTGGGGGGTCAGCTGGACCGTGCCGGCCGGCTTGGCGGGCGAACGACATGTCTTGGAATGACGAAAGCTGCCCCTCTGCATTCGCTCAGAGTTTTTCTTGCATCGTGATGGGAAATTCGGTCAGAGGGATGAGGAAGGGAGATTAGAATTGCTTCCCATGGAAAAGACACCACGGGGTTTGGTAACTCAGCGGGCACAAATCATGCGTTGTGCTATTAGGAGAATTAAACTTTCTTTGATCCTCACTAACGTAGGCGATGTCCGGGGATTTTAATGCCTGTCCGAAACTGGACTTCCCGTCTGTCAACTGCACACGACTTTCCATGCCTTGCTGATCAGAGTCACACATTTTTTTAACCCAACCCTCGAGCATCACCTTGCGCTTCTCTCGAATATTCTCCCTAGCAGCCCACACCTACCCTCACATGCAATTTCTGGTCAGACCCTAAAGGCATACCATCCAAACTTGACAAGGACCCTGCTTACTGCACACCACTGCCCCTAAAAACCTGCCACTACGTAACCGCCGAGCTTCGCACGAGTTCGGTCTTCTCATCCAAAAGGAAAGCCGCCAATTGCCAGCCATAGGAGTCGGACCAAGGCCGCGGCAAGCCAGGATTTTCCATCCATCTTTCTGCAGAGAAAACCTCCGCTAGTGTCATCCGCAAAAGGTGGTGAAATCGAGATCGCAGGATCCGCACTCGAGAGATACTACACTCACACACACAGCACCCACACACACACAGCACACACACACGACCCTCTCAATAGGGCCATCTCCGTTTGCCGCTTTCCGGGAAGTGACGGGGGCCTAGGAGCAACCAAGCATTAACGGTCCTTCCTTTACACTATTACCTTAGGAGCCTTTTTTTCTTCTAGTTTTTCACTACCCTGTCAATTTATATAAGACCCCGGCCACCCACCCAACCACCACTTACACACCCCACCATGATGCCCATCACCCTAATGATAGGGAACCTCTTCGAGACTGTCTTGTTTCTCACGGCTCTCGTCAACATCTCGGACGCGTGCGACCAGCTGATTGCTATGGTCGGAGGCCAAGGCATTTTGGCAGTCGGATTGGTACTCGAACGAGTGTTCTTAGCATGGCCGTCCCAAGAGTGGCCGGTGGTTCCCCCGGCCCTGCAGGGTTCATGAGCAACAGCAGCAGCTCACCGTCGTCATGGCCACAGCCTACACAACCTACACAACCACCACCACCACCACCACCACCACTAGCTTCACCACCACCAGCTTCACAACCACAACACATACAACTACCACAACAAAATATCAGTCATTTGTCTGTTCATACCCAAAATGTTAACGTCAACACCACCTCCCCGCGATCTCCTCATCAGCTACAGCAACGGCCACCGCTCCCGCGCATGGGGAGCATAGGGTATGAATCACCAGACGAGTTTGAGCCTCCGAATTACAACCCTGCTCCGGGTCAAGGGGGGTTTTCATCATATTATCGGAATCGCCAGCCCGGGAGGAGTGGTACGTCCACACCGGCCACCATACATACCCATGCACCGTACTTGGAGTTTTCGACGCCGGACTCCCTGGAGGGGATGATGAACCGGGCAGGAAATAATGCCAAGTATGGGAATGGGAAAGTGAGCATCAAAGACCGGATTTGCTGTGTGCAGTGGAACTGGTTTACCATGACCATGGTAGGTCGCCTTTTCTTGATCAACAGTTCGATGTAGGTGAAGCTGATAATGTTATAGGCGACAGGCGGAGTAGCCAATGTTCTTCACTCGATACCCTACGAATCGCGCTGGCTGACCGGCATCGGGCTTGCTTTTTACTTTCTCAACATTTGTTTGTTCATAATGAACTGTGTATTAATCTCGTTGCGGTTTCATTGGCGGCCGGGAAGCTTTGTCGAGTCGTTCACGGACCAGATGGAGTCGTTGTTTATTTCTTCCCTTGTAAGTAGCATAATTTTCTATTGCGAGCCGGCCCCTGAGTGGCTGTGTAACACACCATTTCTTTCTCACTCCTGAATAAGTCGTGGAACATACCCTCCATGGACTGGATCTGAAGGCTAATATGGAGTAGATTGTATCACTAGCGACGATTCTCATCACCACGGCCCAGTATGGTATTCCTCACGTTGGTGACTGGCTTCTCTCTTTGTTGGAGGCGCTGTTTTGGGTTTACGTGGGGTTAAGCACGCTATCTTCTGCGGGCCTTTATCTCACTCTTTGGTCGACTCAGTATGTGTCACCTTGTCAACCTCTGTTGGCTTCATACTAACTTTGGTATCAGAGTCTTTCCAATCCACACCATGACTCCGGTCTGGGTCTTCCCCGCCTACCCTCTCTTGCTGACCGCCCCTATGGCCGCGAACCTCATCTCTGCCGCCGCCCAATCCGGCCGCATTGACCTGTTAAACCCTATTGCTATCTCCTTAGCCAGCTTGACAACTCAGGGCACCGGCTTCCTAATCGCCTTTATGATCTCGGCCTCCTTCCTCTACCGCCTCATGACTCAAAAACTTCCCCGCGACCATCAACGTCCCGGTGTTTTCATCAGTATCGGTCCGTCAGGTTTCACCGCGGCAGGTCTTGTCTCCCTCGGTGGCCTAGCATCCGATATTTTCCCCTCCGACCACACCCTCTCAGCGGACATACTCAAAGTCATGGCATACATGACTGGCCTTTGGCTCTGGGGGTTGAGCATCTGGTTCTTCTTGGTGTCTGTGGGTTCCCTTTGGAAGTATCTCCGTCCGGAGAAGAAGGAGAACTTCAAGTTCCAGATGACGTGGTTCAGTTTTGTATTTCCTAACACTGCGCTGGTCACGGCGACGGAGGCGATTGGGATACAGCTGGGGGCTGAAGGGTTGAAGGTCTTTGGGTGTGTGCTGGCAGCGGGGATTGTAATTGTTTGGTGCTTGGTGGTGGGGAGGATGGTGGACTGTTTGTGGAAGCGGGAGTTGCTTTGGCCCAAGGAGGGGGAGGGGAGGAGGAACCGGCAGGAACAGGGTCAGGAGACGGATTAGAGAGGCCGTTTGCTTAATGTTTCTGGCGGTTCTGGGGGGATGGGGAGGGAGAGGGTTGGGAGTGTGAGTTCGATCTTCTCGGTCGGGTCAAATGGAAGGGAGAGGGGATGGAGTAATGGGTCGGTTCTGTCGGTTGGGTCGGAGAGGGGGAGTGTTAGGGGGATTAGATGGGCGAGGGAGCAGAGGGTGGAGAGGGAGGGAAGGATGGGGAGGGTTTATCAAGGGATGAAGGGTTGATATAACCAAGGAAGACACTAAAAGGTGGATGATGGGTTTCTTTTACTTTCCTTCTGCTCGGTTTCACGCATGGCATGGCTTTGGGGCACAAACGTATAGGTTGGCTGCACATAGCGTGGAGTTTGGGTTGTTTTTTTGTTTGGTGTGCTGTATGATATACGATTGCATCGGCATTGAGTAGGTGTTAGTTTTGTTTATACAGGAGCATGTTGGGAAGTTGATGGGATTGTGTCCTTGATAGTAGTTTTGATTAATACTAGACCATGATTACAGTATCATACTTGGAAACGAGGACTACGATTGGGAACTGGAAACTGAAAGTACAATGTTGAAACGTTGAAGCTCAAAGCCAAAAAGGGGCAACCCTTCCCTCCGGCAGGCAACTCAACTTCTGATAAGATAAGGATTTCCCAGCTGCCACTGTGCATGCACCACAAGGCTGAAAGCGAACAGCTCAGCACAATGACGACCAACCCACCAACCAACCAAACCTCCACCGCGCCACGTCTTGCTTGCACACCGGGCGACGTCACATCAATTTTCTCTGAGCTTTCCAGGCGCAACGGTTTGTTCTTCCTCATTTACTACCCACCACCAGTCATTATTCATTTCACAACAACAAAAGAGAGAGAGAAACATGACGCAACTCACCCCCGAAGAAGAAGCCGCCTCGGCGCGCGCAGCCCACCAGGCGGCGCTGAGGAAGGCGAAGCGCGAGGCGAAGATCAGGGCGGGGGCCGAGTCGAGGTTGAATAAGATTACCGGTTTGGGGGGTGGTGTGCAGAGGGGTATGTTGCGTTCTTTTAATTCTCTGATGATGATGATGTGGTGGTAGCTAACGAGAGTAGTGGACCCTTCGAGCACAACCGCACCTCCCTCCACCATCAGTGATGCCACTACTACATCCGCCATCCCTGCTGCCGCTTCTGTTACTGCCTCCGTCCACGATGCCGACCCAGAAGAAGTCGACATCTCCACCTCGGAACACTTCTATCGACCGGCGAGTACGAACCGGACCCCCCCCGTTGAGTCGGACATCGACGAGCAGGCGCTAAGGCAGATGATGCTTGGACTTGACGGACCGGGCGTCACACCACCCCCCATGGGAATGGGGATGGGAGGGGGGAAGAAAATGGAGGAGGACCCGATGATGGCGATGATGATGCAGATGCTTGGAGGCGGTGGCGCTGCCCCCGGTGGTGGTGGCGCTCCTCCGCAAAACCCGTTTGCTGGTCTTGCTGGCATGGGCGGTGGGTTTCCTGGTATGCCTGGTATGGAACAGCCACCCCAGCAACAACAGCCGCCCTCAAAAATCCCCGGTCTCTTCAAAATCTTGCATACGCTTATCGCCCTTTCGCTGGGACTGTACCTGCTGCTCAGCACACCCTTCACTGGCTCAAAGCTCGACCGTGACAAGTCGGTCTTGGCGGATTCAGGCGCGGCAGTGTTCAAGTCAGAAGCGGAGAGCCAGGCCAAGAGGAACTTTGTCTGGGGGTTTGCCACTGCGGAGATTTTGCTGTTTACGACGAGGTTTATTTTGGAGAGTCAGGCTGGGATTAGGGGGGAGCAGAGCTCTGGGATCTTGGGCGGGTTGACGAATTTCCTGCCGCCGCCGTGGAAGGGACGGGTCGAGATGGGGGTTAGGTATGCCAAGGTTGTGGGTAGGGTGAGGGGGGACGTGCTTTTTGTTGCTTTTGTTTCTGGGGGTGGGGTCTAAGGTTGAGGGGGTAAAGGGGGGGGGGGGAA